ATCATAATAGATCTAGGCTTCTCTACGATAAAGCCATTAAGTATTAAACTCTTTAACTGTCTTCAAATACGAACCCAAACGTTCGCTCAACCATACAAACAGACGGAAACACAAATAGACCAATGTACACTGACATACAGGGGAAAAATTGCTTGCTACTATATTGTTTGATTGTCTGCTAGTTCGTATGGCCGCAAACTTTGCCGAAGAACCCGATTAGAATCATCCAAATTCGAGGTACAGAAAGCGCGAAGGGTGCAAAAGATGTCCGAATACAAAGAGTCTGAAGTGACTGAAAGGACAGCGAAAAGGAGTTCTAGGAGAGTTGACGCCCGTGAAACCTGATCTGCACTATGCCAACTGATGACGACGGCCATCGTGGTGACGGTGCTTGCGAATATACACAGACACACATATACGCATTCGTACGCACGAATCAATAGCGACACATTGGAACGTTGTACATGGACACTTACAAACACTGTAGACGCGCGAGTGCTTCTTCTGTGGATCAATAAAGCTACCTACATCTCATTTTACCGATGGGACCGGGCCATCATCACGACCGATTGATGAAACAGCACTCAGGACAGAATCAAACAGAAGGTTAGCGACACGCCACCACCAACAACAACAACAGCAGCAGCAGCGGCAGCAATAATACTCCCGATAAGCATTTGCCTTCTACTACAAGGACGGCTCTTCCAGTAGTTGCTCATATGACCGTAGCTTGGGGGAAGGGGGGGGAGAAGAAAGGACATAAACACATCGGCATAGCAGAAATATCGGCCATTATCAAGTAATGGTGATGGGGACAAGCACAATGACAACGAAGTATGAGACGACGGACAGCGTAGATGGAAACAGCACCAAAAAGGTTATTTGAGGCCAACATCTTACACGCACAGACAGGCTGTATATGGAGCCTGCAAAGATATATAGTAGCGTATATTGTAGACTCCTTTCTGGGACATACATGTTTCACAGATCTGAAAACCAGCGAACATGCTCTCGTTTGCCCGCATGTCACTCGCGGTTAACGCCTCGTTCCATTGGTCGTCGTCGTCTAGATAAAAATAAAAACATTCAACTTAATTTGTAAACCTTTTTTGTAGACCTTCCTGAGAAGCGATTCGCCTTTTAGACGTGTTCATGTTTCATTGTAAACTATGTCTAGCACACATAACTGTACAATACATTGGCAAGTTACTGTAGATAAGGTTCAAACGATTCCTGCGTTATAACAAATATGTAAAGCAAGGGTGTAACAGGTGGCAAAACAAAAACAGTAGAAGACAATAGGACGTACATCAATGCAAAGTTTGATTTTGTAAGGTCACCCACCTTGTGGCCATCACATCATATGCCCCATTTCAGGATATGCACTGCTATTCTGCTGCACTGAGTCGTACCTTCTAAGCAAATAGTGAACAGTAAAACATAACAACACTAGTTAAAAGCAGTAACAAGGTCGGGCCCGTTTTAACTTATTTTTTCCACATAATAAAAACATTGCTCTTCTTATTACATAATCTTGGCATCTACACTTTTCAGAGAAGCGTGGTTCAGCCAGGTGTGGTTGTTGTTCCTGAAATCCAGCATTCAACTTTCACCCTACTTTGGACTGAAATCAACGTCCTGCCTTTGACAAGAGACTTGTCTCCCGGAGGGAGGTAAATCTTACCTCGTCTCGCCATAACAAAGCTTACTTTTATTATTCAGTGCACATTGCTGCCATAATATCCTGCTAATATCAGAAGGATAGGCCCTTTTTTAGCTTTGTTCTCCTATAAGGAAGGATAATCTGCCCTAAAATGACGTTGTCACCTGCGATCCTTTCACTAGCTATTAGGGGCGCTGCAGTCACGTCTACCTTTATGTTCCTCGTTGGCTCTAACACATATGTGGATATCTCGGTCATACGTTTCAATATAGATCAGCTTTTCCGTCCTGGCCCTGTACGACCTACCTGCGCTTTGATACATATGAAAGCCTTATTACCGTCCGTCGATGAAAGCCGACTGGCGTTGTGCCGCCTTTGGTACAAATACTATCGATATGTGTTTGCATCTCTACAAGTGCATACATTGCTTGCTGCCCGCGCGTTGTCGTAATATCACTCGCGTATCATTTCTGTATGTCTAGGAGGCCTTTTTTCCGTCCGTGTTGTTGTAACATACCATATCTCGTCAGATCTACTATATGCGTCTAAATATTGTCCAACGCATCATAAGATTAGATTTCCATTTCTCTTTCACCGTCAGCTCTGATTAGCTGCGTGAGGCTTGCAAACAGGCGCTTTTCTACTCGCGTCTACCATACAAATAGTTACATACATGGGACTGAATATAATAATGCGATCTGCTGCTTACCACTGTCAACTAATAACTCGTCACGCTGATTTAACAAAGCCGACTACTTACCTTCATTAGCTCAACGATCTGATTTGTTGTTTATGTAGATATCTACCTCCATAGGTAAGTATATTCCTTGGAGCTGGTTAACTCTTATGTACATGAGTGAGCTTTGGTGTAATGTTCACTTGTAGCCGCCATTGCTCAGCTCTTCAGAACAAGTTAACCTTTAAGTATATAACACTGTCTATCAACCCGCTAAGTATTCACTGGGCATGTGGCTAGCTGGATTTATCCGACTTCCCTTTCTGTATCCGACACATTTGTTAATCTCTTTATGGTTAAGGGAAATCAGTGAGCAAATTTATTGAATTAACCAGTGGCTTTTGAAATTAGACGTTATTATATTGGCGCAGGTCATAGTAGGCAAAGTATGTCATAGGAAAAGTCAATATGAGGATAACAAGCAAAACATCATCGGCCAATGCTATACCAGTATTTTGGATTTGTTGTCAATGCGCATCCTAACCAAAGGGACAAAGGAAATTCAAACTGGGATAAAAATGGACCATACAATAGCAGTATAATTCTATTAAGACGATTTTTACTCTTTTCTTTGATGCGAATCCAGTTCTTTTTTAAGTACAAATAGACAAGGCATTACCTCCGTCATAATTGTGAAGGAAAATCAGATAAGACTATAGGAATCCATTTAACACCACTTTGTTTCTCTTTAGCGGCTAACTACATTCATCTATGTGGAACGCGTATATGCCATCCCTACGGAGTACCATGAGTCCTGGAGCGAACGCTTTACACAATCGACATGCAGGATTTTGCTGCTTAAAGGGGCACTGGCCACGGCGCGCAACTCGCTATATTAGGTTTCAGTTTTTTGACTCGGCCCTTAAGGACAGAGTCATGCTAGCGTTCAGCTAACTGGAACGTGCTTATCTTGTTTGCGGCTATTCCACAGGAAAGTAGAATAACTATCAAAAAGATGTGGCCAAACTCCCGCGTTTCATACAGACAGAATTAAGGGAACCATATAAGCTCACAATTATTCTCCAACTTGTTTCAGCGTCTCCCTGATAAAATGAGAGGTCTGAAGAAGATTAATCAAGTCGTCCTACCTGCGGAGGAATCAGTGGTATACGGGCTGAAAAAGTTTCAGATGCAACAAGTTCTAGTTCGGCCCCAGCCACAGTCACAGAGCTGGAATTGATGATCAACTTGATAGAACGGCAGCCACTGACATTCTGTATTTCGTCGGTTTACTTCGTACTTATATGAACTCGTTCTTGTAGCTGAGCTGGTTCATCTCCGCCAACGGCAAAAGTTTTACCACGGGACGAATGCAAAAGGGATGTTTAGGTTGCATGGTCAATAAAATCGCTTTACTATAGGTCTATTGCAATTAAATCGCATTAGAACTTTTTCAATGAAGTACTCAGGCACATACTATCGCTCAAACAGCGCTAGGGTACAAACAACGACACATAAGCACAAATGCTCGTGCCACGTTTCCTAGCCGACTCGCCAGTGCCGTCTGAGGATGTGTATTGCCGCTTACAGTTCGCAATAATAAAGCTAGTCTTTGAGACTAATTTTAAGAACTGAGAGCAAAAATTAATAGGGATGGATGAGGTCTTTATGATTAAAGCCATTAGAGACAAGAAGTAGCAAGTGACATATCGGCTAAATGGACAGCTGTGATTCGCTTTGCTATGCATTGGATCCATCATAGGCTCTGCAGAGAGTAGCGTTTCCACATGCCTGGCGATGCTGAAGGCGCCAGATGTTGAAAAAATTGTGATAGTTATCGTATAGCTCGCCATTTTCTGGCACCATATTTAGGATATATGAAAAAATTATTCAAGTTAAAACTTAATAGATTCAATTTAATTTGTACAATCCATATAACGCGAAATGTTTGAAAGTCCTACATTTTTGCTCTGACCTTGTGCTATTTTGTTATCAACCTGAGTATATGAAGCATTTGATTACTACCAGCAAAAGTGAATAAATTAAATTTGACTGATTAGTGATAAAGAAATATCTATGTAAAGTGCTTCGTAGGAACAATTAATACGAATATAGCAAGAGAAACTGCTTCTCACACTGTTATATAAATATTATTATATATAAGTTGGGAAGCTCCAGCTAAAGTCAGTTGGAACAGTAGACATGATAAAGAAAATAGAAATCGAAATAAAAGCGACCCATCCAATAATATCGTCTCTTCTTTGTTCCTGTAGAGCTAGGTATGTTGTTTTGCAACATATTGTCTATGTTCTAATTATAAAAAATAATTCATTAAATACCACCTCGTACCTCCTAGGTAAATGACTATTTCTCCGATGTAACAGATATGTCACTACCAATCTTCCTTTTATCATAAAAGTAGACCATTGTGCGATGATAAATAATCTGAGCATATTATTCATGTTTATAAGCTAATGCAAAAATTAATTCTAACTTATAAAATTTAGTGTATTTTATTAAACATCCATATGGATAACAAAAGAAATACTAGGAAATATCATCAAATCAATAACACATCTGCTTATCAAACGGTCAGCAAATGCAGCCGCCGCACTGCATAGACTAAACGAATTCATTGTAAACCTACGCTTCTTTGCAACAATTATATCAGCCTTTACTCTGCCTATTTACTGATGTGATGATTTACTGAATGATCTGATAAGGTTCTTTTCGACTTGCTGATAAAAACTTTTATTGCATTAGCATATCGTCGCCTGGATCATCCGCCGCGTCGATTGTGTACATCTGGTTAGGATAATTATCGACTAGTTGTACGCTGTTATCGTCCGAATTTACGAAGTACATCTGCTGTGAACCTTTTACCTGTACGATTGGGTTGTAGCGTAACACTGTCGGAGTCCCTGAACGAGTCGCTTGTTGATCCGATACGTAGGAAGAAACTGAAGCAGAGCTTGCCGAATCCAACACGGCAACGAGCTGGCCTGCATTTCCATCCCGTACAGGATGCTGAGTTTGTTCATGAGACTGCAGCTGCTGAGGAAGCCGGCCGTCTGAAGCTGATTCGTAGTGGACGCGCTGAACGCACACCTCTTCACCGTCCTGCCACGCTTCTAGTATATCGCGAAGAACACCCATTCTGAAATTAAGTGTGTGTTAGCATAAATCAAATTGATTTGTAAAAAAGGCAACCTATTTTAGAAACGTATGTTAACCCAATATAAAATATATTTAGAAAAACGACTTGTGCATCTAGTCTTTATTATTGTCATGGATGAAAAATTACGAGAGAAACCGTAATTATACTCAGACTTGAAAAAAAATACCTATCACATTGCCGTAATTTAGCCCGATTGTTATGCAACCATTGTGCAACTTGATTTTGATAAGGTATTCTACTATATAGTGTTACGTTTTAAGATTTTAGGCTAATGGTACTAATTGCATCATGTGTCATGAAAACCTCGAAATTACTCATTTTTTACAATAATGACCCACCTAAGTGAAAAAAGAGATCCCCAAACTCCAGATCCAACTGCACAAAGTTCGGCACAGAGTTCTTCAATCTTTTTTCTTCTTTCGCGGTATTGCCGGGGTGCTCTGGTAAGGGCACTTCCTGAGGCATCTTTATGTCGAGGCCTTCTTCCGTCCATTTGATGTTTGAGCTCAGTTGACGATGCTTTCTTATTGTGACCTGAAGGACCGGCTGATGACGGCAAAATTTGGTCTCTTGAGTCGGTCGCTGCTGTTGAAGAAGGAGTTTCCTGTGCTGGGGAGCCGTCTTCTGCTGGTGTCTGGTCCCCATGGACCACTTCCTGAACTTCATTGACTTGAATATCACCCGGCAATGCCTGCTCATCTGTAGCACCGCACGATAACTCTTCGCTACCAGACGGTGCCTCAATCGACATTTGCTCTCCTTGAGTTGCTTCAGGCTGATCCACCTGTTTGTATATGAAGGTTCAATATTGTTCGTCATATGCACACGAAGTGATCTTTTGTTACAGTTATGTTACAGCTTTGACACACGTAGTGGACACTTGATCGCCTCAGTATCAGCCCGATGTTCAAGCTGACACTCAACTTCTAGATTCCAATGCTTGGTCAGAATGGCGCTGAACAAAGTGATACGTTCACAAGAGGACCCAGTACCCACTCACCTCCTGTATGATCTGCACTTCTAGATCTTGCACGTCTTTTATTTCGCAACTATTTTGCTGTTCAGTCGTATCAGAATCAATGGCAGCTAACGGCAAACGAACCAATGTGTCTGCATCGCCTTCCACACGTATATTGTTCCGTTTCCACCGCTCGTCCACAAGGTCCTCAGAATACAAATCCAACTGCGAAGTTACATTACAGATAGACTAGTGATGGTTTAGAGAAAAATTATTTTCAACTCTCGTTGTAATTTTGTGATTGTCACATGATTTTCACTAAAGTTCAAAAACAAAATTTGAAAAAACTTCTTTGAAAAAAAATTTGAGCCAGAAGTACCTGTGACCCGATCCTAAATGAGAGCAGATGAGCACAGGGCAAACGAAGGACCTTATACGCCATACAGGTGCACGAATCTTTCGAGGTGGACACCTTAATTTCCCGGTCGCCAACTCGAGTAAACGTTACCATTCGTGTACATTCCATAAGTTTAAGACCTCGTTCAAATATGCTGAATTGGCCTATATAAAAACATTAACGTTAGAAGTTACCTAATAGACAATACCATCCATGAAACTACAATAGAGTATATATTTATGTCGAAAGGAAAACCTTATATCAAACCTTATGTGACAAGTATTGTCGCGTGTCATGTATCTTTCTCAGTCCGTCTTTGCCGTATATGAACGCACAGTAGGACAGAAGCAATGAGGTACGGACATTATTGATGAGTCGATAGCTTTGTCTTGCTAAATAGGTTGTCTTTGTCTAATAGCTTTGTCTAAATAGGTTAGAACCTTGACCAACTTACACAAAATCGCCTAGCAACAGAACAATCTTACCTTTAAGATACATGTAGGCAAATTCGGTTACCAGAGCTTTATACTTGAACTCTGCCTCGTCGACTGATGTTTTTGGCTGGTAGCGGCTTTGGTTTACCTGAGAAGGAAACGTCGCATTTAGCAAACTAATCCCGTTCATTAGCCCAAAAAACCAAATACGAGAAATTGAATTCTACCAAGTCAACGCAAAATCTACTACTTCTATCCCATAATTTGTGCTAACTTGTTTCACTAGTGCATTAATAATTATAAAAAAAAGCCAAACCTGAATTAGTTCTCATGGAACGTTGCGATTCAGAATTACAAGAAACTCTGCTTTCACAATCACGCAGTACACCCATTGAAGAATAAACAATTTCTTCCCGAGCACAATAAAGTCTGCACCCGAAATAAAGCAAAGGACAAACCTTTAAAAATGCATACTTTAACAATATGATAGAGAAGATCGCCTTTGTACAGATCATCGAGCAACGAATAGAGATCAGCTATTTTCGTAAATACAGCATACATATTTGCTGCAGCATTTTGTACAATAGCCCGAGAATAGCGCCTCAACTTCTGCATTCGTTTCAGCACATACTCGTGCTGAGCGTCGTCGTATGGGTGCCGGCTCACTGAAACCACATTGGATAACAACAAATAGCGAAAATCACTGTATATCATATATTTATTAGAGGATACCTTATGTATTGAATGACACTTGTATAAATCACACTAACGATACGTCTTTTTAGTATCCCTTCTAGAGATCGGAAGATTATAAAAAACGGTTCGATTTTTTCAAAAAAAAGTAAAAACTTCTTTTCAAAGCTTAAATATCGGGACCAAAGTTTGCATCCAAATTACCCGACAAAAGCATGATGATTAAAGAAACAACAAGTAGAACGTGCAGAGCCGATATTTTTGTATGGAAGGCATCACGCTGGAACCGCTGAAATAAATTTTTGATAAATGCCTAGGTATGTTATAATATAAGAAGCGGCCGGTTACAAAAATAATTCGTAAGCAAATGTCAAGAATTCTTATTAGGATATTACATACTATTCCACAAAGCGTAGTTAGGCTCCCACTCGTGATCGTAACAGGCCTGAACTGCTTCGGGAACCGCCAGAGCAGCAGCGAAATCCTCGCGAAGAACACGCTTCATTTCTGCTGATCGGCAGAACACGAGTTTCTGAAAGTGTTCTGTTGCCGCACGTCGACCTATAAAAAATAAGATACATTTAGTCTTCAATAATTTAATCTCAAATTTATATTTTTCTTAATGCTCCACAAAGCAACGCCAGCTTACGCCACAAGAAAGATCAACATGTAATAGAATTAAATTCGACTGCATCCGAATGGTTTGGGGTTAATGTATCAAACAGTGAGACTCATACCCGCTTCGCTAAGATGCACTGCCTTTGCAGCTACCCTGATACGGAAAGTGTTGATACTCTGTGACGGATCCCAGAGAACCTGTGTTGCCGGAAAAATTTCTTCGACGAAATGGAACTCAGTGTACGGCCGGCCCACAAGGCAAATCTGCGTGCATGTCGGTGCTGTCGGATGTTGGCCTGTTGGCAAAAGATTGAATTTGGAACGTACAAATGATTATTGGGTGGCCATTAACTACCCGCAGCTAGGCTTCTCCTTTAGATGTTTTTTTTTTATTGTAGAGAAGCCTGCAACATGCATAAACCTTTACAAACTTTATAAGAAACACTACTCACGAACAAACTCTTGGAGCAGCCACTCGTACAGAGTACTTTCCGACTTTATCAGTATTGCAAACATTACGGGTCGAAGTTCTCCCATAGCATCCGCAACAAGAAAGTGTACAACATTAGCCAAGTCAAGCGATTCAACATACGATGAGGATTCGATTGTTAACAATTCCGGGAAGTCCCGCCAAAGGGCTCGCATCTGAGCTGTACAGAGCGATAATCCCACGCACTGATTGGTGTCGTCGACAGCAACTGTAAGGTCATCGGCTACACAAAGGAAAAGTAACCAATATCAACTTGAATTGTTCTGCATGGCCGGAGATAAAGTCGGGGAGAATTAGACTGTATGCAGGATAAAATATGTTTGCCTATTTGGATACTACATACATTTACACACAAGGAAACGCACCATAAAGCTGAGAAATTTTGTCGACGGATTCTTCGAGGCTTAATTCATTTCCTTCACCCGTTACAGTGCTGAGCAGTTCTCGTAGTTGTGCCTGAGCATTGTCTTTTAGTCGTGACTGCATAGACAGCAAAGCAATAAAGACGCGACCGAAATTTAGACTGATTTGACTTGACTATAAAATTATTTATGACTTCAAATCACCAACATAAAATTGCACAAACATGTAAACGAATAAATGTTCATCAAAAGAAAAAAACGTTGTTGGTTTTTTAACCCAAAAAAAAACAAATATTAAAGAAGATAAATTTGGTTGATAAGAGCTTTCTATGCTTTACTGCATGTGTTTTGCTACTCACTTTTTTCTTGATGTACTTTGACTTCTTCTGGGGGTCGTCATGCTTCACCCCGGCCTGTTTTGTCTGAAGCTGGTGAAACACCTCCTAAATAAACACAAGATATAAATAACAAACTGTATCCTCTCTTAAGATGGACGTAATTTATATAACAATACATCTTGATGCACTGAGACATATGCAGGCATTGATATTAAAAAAACATTAAACAGGAAGGTTCTTGCTTGACTTACTGGCGATGCGCCATGGTTATGCCCGTAGATGACCTGTACGACGCGAAATGCACGACCACAGTTTGATATTCGCGTGCGGATCAAAGCTGGACAGCCTATCCGAATTGTCCTGAAATAGAGAATGATTGTTAAATTTTATAAGCTTTTTATAATTTTATAAGTTATTTATTTTTCACCACTTTAATTTGCTGAGATACCCTCGAAAACTACATTGATGTCCTGCTCGATTTCTTATAAAAGACATTTCTTCCAAACTGATCGTTTTCCCTTTTGAAAATGTCCCAGGCAATCCGATTAATAGTGATGCTTAAAAACAAAAATTTCAACATATTTTTTTTTAATTGGGCACCTCCTTAAAAATTACCGGTTTTATTTAGAAAGAACCCAATGAATAAACTAGTTGAACTGTTCACGATACGACACTTGATGTTAAGCTCGAAGAATGACATCGGTCTCCGATAATGTTATATTTCTTCGAAATACGAATCCAACTTGTATTAATACCAAAAAACTTAAAATACGACATGAAGGGGGACCTGCCCGTTGTCCTACCTGGATTTCCTTTCGCCACGGCTCCTGCAGAATGACTTTCCTCCTCTAACACAAAGCCAGAGGCAAGAGTAATACTTGAAAGATCCGTTGTCTCCGGCTCTTTTAATACCCTTCTTGGCTGCGGATACCAAAGTTCTGGCTTCGCTTTTGAAATACTTTTGTAGCGTCGCCCGTTCAAATTCGCGCACAGCTTCTTCTAAAGCTTCGAAGGAGGCAAATGTTTGTCCTTCATGGATGATGTCCTCTGGAGGACGCTCGACAACGTTTAAAGACTCACCGTCTCTAAACAAACAAGACCAATATTTTCTACATTGACTTTGTTAGTACTCAACATAGCTTTACGCAAACTTATTATTGTCTTAAACGTACGGCCCCACATAAAAACGGAAAAAATTAATTTTTTTGGGAATAAAAGAACTTATGAGTTGCGCTATGTCGTACTATGAAGAAGCGAAGAGAAGCTACCTTGGTCAGCTATGATATAACACGTAATTGAAAACGGAAAATAGGTGCAAGGTTTTCAATAAAAAGCAGCATCTAAAAAATGCTGGGTCGCGGAATATGGGTTGCTAAAGGTTGACCCCGGTACAGCTTTCCCCAAGAATCAGAATGTTCGGTTGATCCATTTAAAGGAAACTAAGGGGAGCTGATAAGATCTAATCCACTGAAGATGTAGAAGTGAGCGATAACCAAATTTTCTATGTGTAATAAGACATGTTATCATTATTATTGAATTTACGAGCGTTTCTTTTCACATTTATGGTCACTTTCAACATTGATCGACACGTGTGAAAAAGAAACGGATAGAAACTACACGTACAAAAACGCGGAAGAAGAGCAAAATCCTCAGGAAACATCAATGCTATTTTTCCTCCCTTCTAGACATTCTTGTCTATGCTATATATAACCTATATAATACGACGTGTAGCGATATATATTGCATAGATACTTAAATACAAATCTAATTATAAACTAGCTGTAAGAACCGGTAAAATGATGCATATAATTGATCAGATCCGGTTAAAAAGGTAAGATCCGGTTTCCGCGACTTTGCAAAACTTGGTCAATCCAAACCACAGACAGAAGAATCAAGTCGCTAGCTTCCACCACGATAAAGGAAACAAGTTATTTACACAGAAAGAGTACATGCATTTATTTAATTATTAATTAAGCCAAATCTGAGTTCCTAAAAAAAGAAATTAAGATTGCGGTATGCAAAAGCAAATAACAGTAACAGATGATGACACACAGGACTCTCCTATTGTACTGTAACACATACTACATAAGAACAATTAATTTTCTTTCCCTATCATCTAATATCTTTAGCATAAATACAAAAAATCTGCATGTGTATACCATTTTATTAAAAAGGTCTACCATGTTTGACAGAAAGCAATTCAAGGTTTGTTCATTAGTAAGGTAGCTTAATAATTGACCTGATGATATCAAGCCATACGTAAAGAGGACCCAGAGCTCGAAATTGCCAATCAGTTAAGTCTGCTAAATATTACCCAGGTAGCAAACCATAAAGTAAAAATCAAACAATAATAGTCTTATGCTAGTTTAGTGAATCTTGCATATTTGTCACAGCGTTGATGTTTGTTGAACGCCTCTAATCCGTGTAAATTATTTTTGGCGCCATTATTCCCGCCAAATATGAATGCTAACTTCGCTCAAATAACTTTTAAAATAGAACAGGACCATGCACTGGTAAGGGAAACCATGGACAGCCCTATTCTCCACGTCAGATAAGTTCTCTTAGCTGTCCATTGTCTAAAGTCCTGTCTATATCCTCAAATGCAGAGTCCATAGGCGCCATGCCACTAACGATTCCAACGCTGCACGCTACTCACCTGGAGTCCGATACAGTTTGCGCTGCTGTCATGTCTCAGGTCAATAAATTAAATGATTTAAGAAAACTTTGAATCACGCATTAAGCACTCAACCCTGGCAAAATTTGAATTAAACACTCTTGATTATATGACCATTCGCCGAATATAAATGGCGATTCATTTGCAATGTTGTCTCTATCGTCATACACACGCTGACTGCAGTTCTTGCAGTCGATCTTTTTCATAGACAGAGTGACCATGGGAGCGTCTGCTATTGTTGCCAAACAACAATCAAACGCGGTTTGTACAGACCTGTATTCTGATTCGGAATATGAGCGCGATTGATAATTTATAGCTTTCTAAGCATAGGGAATACATTATGCGTCTAGGCACCTAACCTGTAATCGTCACTATTTATTTCCGCTTGCTTTTGACTCTATTAACTCTCGGAATGTCCTAAATAACTAAGGCATAAGCTTCGTACAGGGTTCTAAATGGTTTCGACACCGCTTACGTAGCGTGGCAGAACGTAAATCAAATGTGCATATACACGCGCATTATATGGCGGTAGAATTCTGTGACGCATTTTCTGTGTCTAAAATCATTATTGATCCATCTAACTGAGTCCCATATATCACTCGAGTGCAGAAAGTACTTCACGATGTACTGCATCGAAATAACCGCATCGCCAGTTGGTCTTTAGCCTACAGCGCGCTCTCGCAACAACACAGCAGACGACACGAGCACGACGAAAACACTCGAATGTTTCTTCCACAAATTGCTGCAATGAGAGAACGAGACGTCAGCATAGACAGGAAAAGGCAGCAGCAGCAGTAGTGCAAGGAATAGCATCAATAACATCAATATCACGGCGGTGCTGATGATGGTAGCTGGCGCAGCAGTAGAAGCCAGGTTGAGTAGCGCTAAGAGAACAGACGGTGTTGTGACGGGTGCGGACGATTTAACACTAGCTTACATTTCTTCTAGTTGTTCTTGTTCTCGGTACTGTTATGATTATATCTTTATTATAGCGTTGATTCGTGTTGTTGCCAGTGTAAGCATTCCCGCTTCGTAGGACCTCTCTCTCAAAAGAAAGAAGAGTGCTTTCGATATCTAGACAGGTGCTGGGAGTAGCTTCAGGTTGATTGCCCTTAACGTTGCAACAACATCGGAAAGGACTTGCACTTCGTGAGTGTATCCCTAACCTGTTAACCTGTTGTGGATGTCGCAAAGTGAGTGTACTTTTGCTCATTGCAAGTGGGCACAGTTTGAGTTGTCTTCGGGACTAAGGACACCTGCCCAATTCTCCTTCTTATACAAAACAGGAACAGCTATTCGAGGAGTCGTTGAGTACGTGCTGCTGGGTCTGCCTTCTTGTTGACATTTGTGTGTGACCGAGAGGTTTTCAGTTACCGTGGACAGTAGAGGTGGCCAGAATTCACGTAGCTTGTTCGGGGGGGGGAGGGGGGAGGGGGGTAGTTGTTCGTTATTTGACTTAACGGATAGGAACGTTCCTTAGCTGCCGAGAATAAAAAGCTGTCAACAAGATTCGGCGCATCCTAAAGTCAAATTTAACCGTTTCAGGCGCCTTCCATTTCGCTTTGCTATCCCGTTTTTTCCCAAACAGGCAAAGTCACAAATGAACGAGGTTCATATTATCACGGTGATAGAAAGTAGTGAATATACATCCGCTCTGGAATAAATGAGGAGGCCTACTATGCCGTCGAGTGTTGCATATGTGTTCTATAGAGTGATCTAGAAGTGTAATATACGAAGGTGTTGAGGGATGTACATACAGCAAGGCAATAAAGGACGTGTCGGACTTGCTTGAACGGTCTCAAGGAAATCGAAGTCGCCGTAGATTAAAATCACCGTAGATCTGCGGCAACAACAGCACTGAATGTGAAATCGCACTTTTCTATCAACGTGCAGACAACCCATCTATGATTACGTGTGTGCTATTTGAATGTCCTACTCCTGATACTGTTTCTGTGTAGAACGCTGCCTCTCTATTCGTTGAAAAGGAATTTGTAACAGATAGACTCTGATAATATTCGCCATGAGACATCTGCGATGACAACATCGAGCTGCTACAATGACAATGGCGTCTATGGATGCCTTGGAGGTAAGGCTGCAATAGAAACTTTACTGGCAGACTTTTTAGTATATAACAAAATGACCGTTTCAATGGGCTCAATCTATGCTATGACTCACGTCAATATACGACATACAGAAAAAGAAACCTGTTAACGTAGGTAAATTTTTACTGCCGCATATCGTCATTTGAAGATAAAACTTATTAATTTCTTTTACCTAGTTTTACGAAACATTATTTTAGCACACAACTAGCTTACTCATAGATAGGGTGAAATTAAATCTGTGGCTTTACTTGCTGGTACTTCTAGGCGGGTTTTTAGACATAACAAGATGTTTAACACCATTCAGGAAAAAAGTACTTGTTTTTATAGATACACGTAATAATTTATAGATACACGTAATAAATAATTATATTTACGTGCTAATTCTATTGTTCGCACGCTATATGTTCAACTAAATGAAAGTTTAAATAATAACGAATAAGAGCAATGAGAATCATAGCAGGATGAAGAAAAAGGGTCCTAATGGAAAAATTCTGTTGGGATACCATATACATTGATATCTACTAGAAAAACTAATTTAGAAAAAGAAGCCACGATACGAGCAGCTTTACATACATGACTGAATGTCAAAAGCAAGTCACTTGGTCCCTCTTTTGTATAAGATACATAGGAGGTAAGGTTTTCAGCCTAATAGATCGCGTAATTGACGACAACTTTTGCGACAAAGGATCGTTTTGATATATAAGCCGAAACAACTTCCCAATCTGTAAAACCCCATTCCATTATCCACACGAACTGCATGCAGCACCTAAGATTAGTTAAACTAGGTAACAACTTTTGGAACGCATCTCATGCCAATATGTCCTCTATAGGTGTAATTGTTATGAAGTCTATATATGATAATTTGCTTTGACATTCCTTCAGAGACTGAAAAACTGTGACAGTACTTCGAATAAAAAGAGATCCAAGTGCTCTGTCGCATCATTCTCATGCATTGTTTATATTGGAAAAAACGAGCTCGTGGTATAGGTGGATTATATATATATGTTATGTTTAAAAATTCAGTTTGATGTCCTACGCACACGTTCAAGAGATCGATTGATGTGTTTGGTGTCATAGCAAAGAACTTGGGAACCTTGGAAAGTCTGCTATTCCTTATATTTAATTAGCTTAAAAAATATACTATCTCGCTGTGTTCAAAGCGATTCAATTCTAGATACCTGGGTCGCGTCAGTAGACGGATTTGGTGTATAGTTTGTAGAAAAGAGTAATGTTATAGGTTTTGAAAAGACAATATATTTTAACATACTAAGTAGAACGTAACTGGTTGTTAGAGAGAAAAGCAACGGCTTGATTTGATAATAAGACTTCCTAGTCAAAAGGTTTTTTCATTATTTTTTAACGTTACTATAACATGTGGTAATTTCAGATCAATTCAATATTTATCCTGAGTTCACATATTTTCGATGTAAAGTTAACATATTGTCAAACCAGCGTACTGCTTTCTGCGATAGCCGTCAAAAGTAAATTTCAACGAACTGGCGAAATGCTCTATTCCTGAAACAATTTTTATCAAAAGATGCATGTAATCAAATGTATCAAAAGAAAATACACGCTTTATTTACTTACGCCGTGCAGGCTTTTTTTATATCATGCTACAATATAAACAGTGAAAAGTCTTGTGAAAAATTTCTAAAAATGACATTGTTGTTTTATGCAATGCGACAAGTGGGGTTTTAAAGTTTGTGACACTGTTTTAGATTTTTCTAATGCCTTATTCTTTTTTTCTAACTTCTGTGTAATGCAATGTATAAAAAGTAAGACTTAAGTAACTGACAGTGATACAAATACACTTCGAATGAAATTTTGCATACGGTTTGGAAATGCTGGTTATAAATGTTCGAGGCAGATATCAACCGGAGATAAAAGATCCATTTATGATGCCGTCGTATTTGCGTAGAGAGCGACAAGCTGTGGGTGTCGTCTGACTGGTAGAAGTTTTGCTTTCCGTGAGCTTTTTACGAACTTTACAGTAATCTTATTGGTAAGTAACGTTGTCGACAAAAATAAAACATACATTTACGTTTAGTGGTATCCAGATGAACATCAGATTACTCAAAGTAGGTTTAACCGTTTATTTGCTCACCATTTAGTCATGACAGAACGAGGCAATAGTAACGAAATTAACCCGTTGCGAACGAGTGGCACATAATCTGTGCCCTGTTAGCTCCCGATCTGCCAGGGTAGTGTGAGGAAAACCGTACGACTAACGACGATTATATTTTCCAGCTAAAGCGCGAGACGTGCTCTCATGCTAACAACAATAACATTGATAAGCAAGCTGCTTTTTATTCTTTCTATGGCGAGTGACTTAAGTCCGCAGTTGTCTCTAATATGTACCTTCAGTTGCAGAACTTGAGAAATAATTTGCACAGTTTGAACGATTATTGTCGCATCAATTGCTTGCAATAAAATATACTTTTTTATTCTTTTTTATAGCGATAGGACATTAGCACGAAATAATATTAGTATCCTTAGACTAGGTAAATTATCTTAATTTAATAATTTCTTATATTAGCCTATTAAACAGGCATCTCACATCTCTCACCATATCATTAGTATAAACTGCTCTATCCATGGGTTCCTATTATGTAATTGATTATTATGGGTGGAAATAAGTTTGACAAGATTGGATTAGGTTAGACACGCTTTATTTTCAATCGACGTACCTCTGTGATCTTTCAGGCAGTTGGATACAGCTCCTCGTCTAAAAGGACGTAAGCTACTTGTCGAAAACGAAAGGTCTATCGAGGTAGGTCTTGAAAACCTCCTACAGAAGTACCTGCATGTGTTGCATGGTCGCTTTTACAGCCCCCGCCTATGCTCCTTGTACTCTCGACAATTTTTTTCACCTTCACGTTTCCCACTAATAGGATCATGTTCATCCTGATAAAAAAAGACTTTAAAGTAACCTGTGCAGCCAAAAAAGCGCATTAAGACAATTACAATCCTTGTCTGTTTATCCAGTTGACATTACAAGGGCTTTAAGTCTACAAAAAATGAGGACAACCGCATTCATACGGCATGTTGTTATGCGTGAGACGCTTCATTTTTGTTATGAGCGATGATGTTACCATTTGTGCTCATGATAACAGTAGTGAGTTCTAATTTGGTAATTAACATAGACGATTTTAAGAGAAAGCTTTAGTATTAATTATCGTCCTTCGTAGACGTACGGAAGTTGCATGGTCATTGGGAATTATTGAAATGTTTGATGTACGAATGCCATGATGGTCAGTCTGTTAACTCGAATTATTTATCTAACGCTTTGCAGACAGAAAACGACATCAGGCGGCCGACATCGGATTAAACACTTATTTTTTAACTGTACTTTTGTATTAAGTGTGCGGAATAAATGCATCCGCATCGGTGTCGTTTACCATTAGTAAAATGATCCTTTACAGTATGTCGAATTGTCCATCTACAAGCAGTATTCATTGGGGTGAATCGTGGGCAATATGATCAGAGGCCGTTTTTTTTATGTGTACAGTGTCGATTAGACCCCAACGCCAGCCCGGTGTTCTATCTTAAGAAAAATGTAGATGGTGAAATCGGAATGCTCCTTTGAAAGCAATGACAACTACAATATTTGCAAAGGTAATATAAGCAAAGAGTAACATTATATAATCGGGGCTAAAAAAGTTGAAGATCTCTGCTTGTAAAAACCCAGTTGATAGACCACTGTGTCGTTCTCTCATAGGTACTACTTATATTTTATTACTCTGACAATCGATTTCAATTGACATTATGCATACGGGTATAGCAATTTCTGTTTCTTCCTGAAGCCGAAATCTCCTGAACCTATACTTAATGCAGATGGTAATTCTATTCGATATTGTTCGAGTCAATCTATTCGACCTGCCTAAGGGCAGTAGTAGCTCGGCTGGGACATCTATGATACGGAGCAAAGAGGGCAGTTGTGCCGTGTTTGTGTGTGCACTTGCGTAATCTTTCTCTCCCTCTTTCTCTGTATATATATATATATATATATATATATATATGCATGTTAAAGTGACAGAGTGAGAGCAGCCCACGAAGTATAGTCCTTGAGTAGGATTCATTTGATGTTGTGTGGTTATTGCTGCTGTTGCGGCGGGACGAAGCAGTTTTGCCGTTCGCTCAGGTTATACTGACGTCGGCCCTACGCTACAAAGGGGCGTTTGCTTAAGCTCCTTCTCGTAGACGTACGATCGATGCTGCCGACCTATACAAATGGCCGCATTAACTATGAGGACTTATTCCATTAAGCAGGCTATATCGACCGAAACTGAATTTCATGCTTGCATATATGTGACGTTAGTTTCATCGAGCAACGATTACTGATGCTTATAACTTTCCTTTGCCGCTGCCGCTGTTTTCTCGTGGATGGGGGTTTCTATAAAAATCGAGGGATTTCTGAATTAAACTTCTGCAGTAAATATTTTGTGAATGTACTTCGAACTCGGTCGGTAGTTACGTTATCAGTTTTCATCGCCATGGCGTCAATATATTGTAATTATTAAGGTTATTCTGTTTCTTCACGTGAGTGTTATACAAGCATGCTTTAGTACAGAGCTTGACCCACAAACCCATGTACGTCATGAACACGAAATTTATTTTGCGAACATGTGGCCACTGCTGGCATTGTTTTTCTATCAACTTTGATCAAATAAAGGCGTCGGCTTGGGTTTTTTCCAAAAGGTTAAGTAGTCATCATGAGAAGCTACAAGCTTTCCATCGATAGAGAGATAGAGCTTGTATGAAATATGTTCTTAGATTTTCATTTTACTTTGCGGCGGAAGCTTTCCTTTGTTTCGATGTAGAACGTCGGTTAGGCAGACTATGTAAAAGATAAAGGCAGGTTCTGTTTGTCTTTGTCCTGCAGGAGATCTATATAGGGCGTCACACGTTTCTTGGAGAATGGCTAACTTTGCCTAATGCTGAACTAACGGTTTCCAACTCATATATGCAGGATATTGCGTTCAAATTGGAAAATATTTGGCGGGCTATTTCTCGTAATGGGCATGCGTTCATCCGCTACTTCTGGTTCTAGCCGAAAGCTAGTTTTTTCTAGTACAAAACAACAAACTTGGTGAAAACTCTATGCCGTTTTCAGAATTTAAGTAAAGAGTAGGTATTGTACAGTCCTTTTGCGCTGGACGAGCATTACAAAAATTAAAAATCTCCTTTTTCGCCAAAATCAGCGGCCTACGTTATTACCAGTTTTCATGCGATTTCTGAAAAACCCGAGCAATTCAAAAATTCACGAGAATGGTGCGAAAAGCACTTTTTAGTATATTCGGGTTTTTGCTACAAAATTAAGTGTCCGTTCAAAAAGAAGAATATCAAATATTGATTGAATCGTCAAGATAGGTTCTAGTGTTTTTCTTAACACTTCTTGCGCTTTTTAGTACCTATTGAACTTCTTGGCGGTTCTAAGCGCTAGCATTTTTGGGACTTTTGGCCTGTTCAGGAAATCGAAAACAATCGAAGGTCAGAATCCTTGAATTGGGTATTTAAAGACCTTTATAGCTCTTAGCCCAAACTTTAGTTTTCATGGAGCGTATCTGAGCGACACTTTAACGGGTTTACATCTACAGATCTCACTTGACGCACTACTGCGACTAAAAAATTACTTGCTGGTGGAAAATGAAATATATTAAAATTGGTTTGCGCCCCGAATCGAAGCTGTAATTCAAGTAAATGATGGTTACATTCAATAAATATAAACGTCGAAAATGACACCTCCGACACATGCAAAAGACTGTCTTGAAATATTTGCTTTGCTTAGATACGATTTTAGAAGGAGTGCATGAGTAATATTCTCAATTAAGATGCGCCTTTCTCCTTATAAATTAGAGTTGCTTTACTTAAGCATTGCGCCAAGTAGTCGGCCTTCAGCAGAACAAAAAAGCGAAGTCTGTAAGCGTCCAGATTCGAATAAAAACCGTCTGACGTGTCTCTACGTTTCAAGCTACCTCAATGTCTGCCATTATCAATTCGTTCAATTTAAGATACACAATAAGGCAGAAACCGTAAGCAAATACCAAGCGGATCTCAAGTAATTTAAATGTATTGGGGTGAGAAACCCGCCCTAAGAGATTTATACTTTCGCTGATGCGAAGTATTGAACTTATTCTGCAAGAGTGCCGAATCATTAACGCCATACTATTCCCAAGATTTGTTATAATAAGGGCACTATTTGTAATTATATTTTTCAAATGTGATCTTAGTCTAATAGCACAGTTATCTTACGCTCTTTGACAATTCCTCTATTTTATTTAAGCCCATTAATACTCGCGATTCTGCTGTTATTCAACAAATTCATCTAGAATATATTCGAAGCGGCAGCTGGCCTGAACATTCGTCATGTACGCTCTTGTAATATATGATTGGGCCAAGATTGCTGTGACTATCGAAAGGACGTTCACTGGACCCTGTGGCAACATAAATATATTAGTGCGCTAAATGTACTTTCTTTTCCTAAGTGCATTTGCTACTTCGTTTTGAGGACAAAGTTCAAGGTTATCGCTATAATAGTCATCTGTTAGGCACACAACACCACTGCACTGCCTTAGCTTCTATTCTCATCGCCAACGAGTTCCGCTGGTAAACTACGACCACTTTTAAACGTCGGCTACGCTACGAGAGATAACCCACGAAAGACGACACAGTATTTGCCTTGTTAGCGACGTATACTTGAACTCGGCCATTTTGAATGCAACTTTAGCTCGATATAAGAAGATAATAAAGCTATTAAACCGGTAAATCTATTTTATGCGCAGTGGTGCTGAATAGAGGACATTCATTCGCGAAAGAGCAACAGTTTACCTAGCGGTCAATTTTATAATAAAAGATCTGTTTTTGGTTTTCGTCTGGGGTGACGCCAGTGTTGGATAAATCTATATTGTTTGATCTTTTTGCCATTTCGAACATAATGAGAATAGGAGCAAAGCGTAACAGCTTGTTTTTGGAATATTGCAAATAAATTGCTAATTAGAGAAAAGCATAGCAAAGGGCCTTCTATTTCGAAAAGAATTTTTGTATAGCAGATTTTACAGAATCAGTCAATTTCTTGCAAGAAGCGTGCGTCAATAACAAGCGTTTTATGCCGAATAAACTTATGGCGGAGCTTAAGTGCAACCTTTAGATCATTTTGTATTGAAATCCTACGTAGGTGGTGTGAAACGGGTTTCAGAGATTCATTATTTATGTAGTGCAAGATAGCGCTGCCACGTAAGTTGCATGCAGCGTCAAGTATAAACGTAATCTTGGGATGAAAGACCAAATGATGCTTTTATCGGGGCTTTTATAAAGGCTTGCCAACCATGTATAATAATCAATGGCTGCAAATAAGGCGTGAGAGTTTACTGGTATTCAGATATTTTGAAATATATTGAGAATTCTATTATTTAAACGTGTGAATGAAATGTGTAGCCTTTCAATTGGACAGTGTCACAAAGAAAGCGAGCGTTTAAAAATGTCTTTTTTTTTTAAAGTTGCGGTTATATCATCAGGAAAAAATAAAGGCAGAGCTTCAGCAGTTTGTAAGGATACTGAGGCACATATTCCAGGACACTTTTTCTGTATCATCAGAAAGAAACACAAGCAGAACTCAAAAAAAAACATTGGAAACGTTAATTCAGTAATTTAAATGACATCAAGGATTGTTATGTTGAATGAAAATCGAAATGAAGATTAGGCAGCAAGAAATGTGTCTAATGCTCAACCAGAGTTTAAATGTTTTTAAGCCAATAGTTTCATATTTAGTATGAACAACAGAGAAATTACGACCATCCAAGCTAGAAAGGATATTTTATACCTTTGTTATGGAAAAACAAATTATTTATTTGAGGTTGCGCCACCTGTTTTGTGATTTCGAAATGATAATTTACATTAAATATGATTGATCATTGTTCCATTGACTACTGTTGGAGAGCAGAAGATAAAAATTGATTGGTAATAGACAGCTGATAATCATCATCATTAATATTGTTAATCTAATAGTTCCCAAAAATATTTGCAAAAAAAAGCTAATCGTATTTGGTATTTTCTCCCGTCTGATGAGGTAATGAAACCTGGATTTCTGTTTTATGCATTCATGTTACTACATATTCGTGAGAAAAGATAAGAGCAGCATTGCACGAAATACTGAGCGGTGAATGTCTTTAGCATGATTAGACATTAGCACAGACGCTGTTCATTTTGATTTTAAAAAAGAAGGTTGTGTATGCACAAGCAAGACCCCAAGTGACGGCATGCTGCGTGGCGCTCCTGAACTAAAACCTAAACTGGAGGTAGACATTTTTTGAAAGCAAATAGCATATTGTAGCCTTGAAACAAGCACAACCGACAAACATTATGCACGCATGCGCGTTGAACATCGTTGAGAGTGCATATGGGCCGTGAAAGATGTGCTGGTCTATGTTTCTTTTATGCAAAGTGGCATGATAAGCTATTTGAGAAGCACCTTTTCGTTCTAATCGATGTGTAGTTTTTAACGCCTCGAGCCTCTATTCGTAGTAATATTAAAAGCAATAATAAAAATGAGGTATTAGAAAGCGGTCAAGGGAAGCGCTGTGAAATCAGAACAGAATATGTCGATGTTTTTAGTTAGGTGTACACAACATAGTGTCGTTGATGGCCATTCTTATATGCTGCATAATATACGAAATCTGATGAAAAAATATTTGGAATCTTATTTTTATTATAAAAAACATTTGTTCGTTAATATCACTTTTTCTTCTTCGAAGTGCTTTTCACGCGACAACACACACTTGCGCCAGCTCTTTTTACGGCCTAGAAACATGCGATTTTTGAAATAGATTTTGGCTCCCTCTGCAATTCTGACTTAATTTCGTCGACATTATTAAAACATCATCTTTTTAAGGATTTTTTTAGCTTGGAAAATAACAGGAAATCGCAAGGAGCCAGTACCGGCAAATAAGAAGTCTGAGACATTGGTATGCTGTTCCTCTGTGCCAAAAATTCACGGACAACGAATGAAGCGTTTGTAGGTGCATTATCGTAATACAATTACCAAGAATTGTTTGTCCACAAATCCGGTTGTTTTCTTCTGATTGCTTTACGCAATCGGTATAAAACTTTTGGGTAGCCTCCTTCATTGATGATCCGACTTGGCGGCCAAAACGTGTGATAAGCTATGCCGTTAAAATCGAATAACACACTACGAAGAAATGTTCACATACGATCGAACTTGGCAAGCATTTTTCGGCTTTGTCTTCAGAAACCTTCGATGGAGGGACTGTTACACCTTAATTTCAGTGTCACATTCATACCCTCCCATGTTTCCGTACCAGTTATGACTTTCTGAGCAAATTTGAATTTCGTTGATTAAGTTAACAGTTCCTGAGCACGGTTGATTAGGCACTGTTTTTGGTCAAAATTCAACGATTCTGAGATAAAATTTACAGCTGCTCGTTATACGCCCAAAACATAGAAAAGTTATCGTGTGAGCTGGATGATATTCCAACATTATCAGCAATTTCTCTGATGAGAATCTGGAGGTTTTTAATAAAGATTTGGTTGGTTTTTCACGATGGAAACGGACGTTGATGCGCTGGGTCGTCGAGGGCGCTCGCTGTCTTCAACTTGCTCATTTCATAAACAAATGCTTGTTTTATTTGTAAAGGATATTCAGCATGTGCATTGTGACGTTACACTGCATTCATTTTTTAAAATGTTAATTGTTCTATTCTTGTCACAAACAAATATCGTTAAGCAAAAACACGAGTAATGCGTTTGACTGTTAACAATCAAATATAGATTAAAAATGTCAACCAATGTGATGATACCATTGAGCATAACGGAAAATAATTTCACAGCCGCATTTGTGTTTGCGAAATATAAAAAGTTCGCATAGATTTCAAATCAACTTGGTATAAAATAAAAAACGGCAATCCATCAAAAACCTAGACGCGTTCCTATTGATTAGACGTGCATTTCTACTTTATATGATATAATATTTCAGCAATTGAAATAGTTTTTCGAAACAGTGGATTACAAAAGTGGTGAGTACGGTTGTTATTTTTCTTGTTATTGCGCACCTGTAGGTTGATTTTAAATCTAATTCGTTTTTAGCGGAGAAGCAGAGATTGCTACGATCGTTATGATTAGATATCTGTATAGGAATTATGATTGTGTCGAGAGACTTTGGCATTATCATCGTTTGTGAATCACAGCCAGCTACATCGAGAAAATAGACTGAATTTGTATAATGAAGCAATAACACTATCATTATTTAGCCGCAGGAGGAACCGAACAGGGGATTTGAAAAGAAACAACTGGTCAGCTTCCGTTCTATGCATTATAAAAAGAGCTGCATCCAATAGAGGTGAAGAGTAACGCGAGCTGGATGCAGCGTTTAGTTAATCGCATGTAGCTACGTAGACGCATGCTTTAGTTTATCGACGATTTTGGACGATAATAGAAATGATGATAAATAAACATTTTAACATTTACGCCATTCAATCTGACCCCGCTACTATTCAAACAAGTGACTATATGAGGCCAACATTTTTGCCATGCGTGTTACAAGCTTTTATTCCTATTATTCCAACTTACACTGAATTTAGCCTAGTAGTAGTAGTAATTAGACATTGTCTAAAGGGAAGTATAATGGGACAGATGCACCGATTCGAAAGTCACCTCTGGTCAGTGAGCTACAATATAATTTTTATCTAGCTGTAGTGAGTTGTGTTTACGCTATGGTGCAAACGACCATTTTGGAAGCTTTAATAATACAATGTCTTGCTAGATCGATAGAGACTTGAAATGTACGCGTCCATATCTAATTTACTCTGACCGATCGATATGCACGCTGCGGTAAAGCTAGGGGACTCTTCTTAACGCTGCTTTGATGTTTTTTCTTCCTTTTAGGTCTGGCCACGGGGCGTAGAAGCTCCGATTTTAGCTGGTGCTGCTGTGGGGAACTCGACCCCAACGAGTCCAAACAGCGGCGCAAATTCGTTTGGCACGGTGGAAACTTCTGCGGAACCCGGCTCGTCGGGGGCATCGAAGCCGGCTATCGTATGGGACGACATCGAACGAACCCTAGTCATACAGGTGCTTCGGGGCTTCAATCTCGCCAAAAAAGATATTTTTGGCACGTCTGATCCATACGTTCGCATCTCCGTTCTCCTCAATGAGCAACAGGTTAGCGTACCGCAGACTTCCTCATCTTTTGTGTTATGGATTTACCGCGCTTGTGAAACGGTTCCACGGTCACTTTATGTGACTAATTTTGTCCTTACGCAGGCAGGACGGTTTCATTTGACGCTCTAGCCGATCCCTGCCGTAGCTCTTAAGTGGCTACGAAAGTTGCTTATGGATTCAAATCACGTTGTGAATCCACTGTGTACACAATGAGAGGAAGTAAAATAGTTTTTTTTTTTTTTAAATGAGTGTCTTTAATTTAATACTTTTAAACGGGCAACGAAGCACATAATGTTTCGGATTGAAAGTGTGCACCAATTATCGGATCGTTGTCTTGCAGTTGTACCGTAAAATGGAAGCACCCAATAAATAGCTAATTTTTCAATGTCATGGCACTACAACAGGGAGATAATTAAAGAGATGGCACTTGAAATGGTTCGCACCAAATGTCCTAGTTTATTACAGCCATGTTTTGTTTTACCTGCTCTGTATATAGTAGTCTGGAAATGGAGGCCGATGTCTAGTTGTGTCGCCGACAACCTGTGAGCCGTTCTCGATCTTCGTGACCTACTATATTACGAACATACTATTACTCGTCCTGCAGGGTTCCACACACAGTATCCTGATCACTTAGAAGTCAGGTGTTTCTCTTGTCGTCATAAGAGATTTGGAAAGCCAACAATCAAGGGCGGAGCTTATGCGAATGTGTTTCACGTATCGTGACATTCAACGACCGTTTAACTACGTTTTCATCTATATCCAACTCAGGATATTTAATTGGCTGAGGCAACATTATGCTTTCGTCGATCTGTCCCACGTAACACTGCTAGATCAAACTACATGCCTCTTTAGTAATTACTTTACTACCTATATCTACCACATTAGTACGGGCGACCAGATTGCATCATTTTTCTGTAAACACGTGTACATCATTCAACACATACCTACGCATGTATCCACCAATACGACAGTCAACTATAAGTGAAATGGTTTAATTATACCTGGCCCATGTATAACATCTATGTATATAATATAACTCATTCAGTTCTCGGCTATTACATGAACGAATTCATGCAGGTGCGGCATGTTTGAAAAGAACACAATTTTGCTCGGACGTAGCCGACACGAGGTACGTCGGGTATTGAACTTAAATCATAATCAGCTATAAAACGTCGTTGTATCATCATGTCTTGTCTATACATATTCTACTCCAAGTGCTAGTTAAACCGAGCACCCGTAATAACCCGCGTTGTACACTCGGATTTAAATTTATTTACAGGTTACCGCGCTGTATACACAGACCAAAAAACGCACGCTTAATCCGCAGTGGGATGAGGAATTTCGATTGATTGTTTCACCGGTTCGGCACAAAGTGCTGGTAGAAGTGTTTGATGAGAATCGACTTACGAGGGATGACTTTCTCGGCCTTGTAGAGCTGCCCTTGCCAACTATAGGTTTGAGTAATAGCTATGAGTTGTCATAAACACGCCGATAATTGTTATCCTTATGTATCTGACACCGATATAGATTCAGTCGATCGTATTGAGTACGTGGAATGCTCGAACACTTGTCGAAATGTTATTTTTAGTTCAGTAGGTGTCCACGGAACAACTTATCGTGTCTAGAGTAATAATCATTCAACGAGAAGACAGATGTTATATCTAATGAGCTTCAAGTTTCCAGTAAAAGACTTATTAGAAAAAGTTTTGTTATGAATGTAAAGTAGACGTTTTTTTATGATTCGATGATTAAAAATACTTTTTTATATAATTAGGTGTAGACACCGTACCCAAACACTACATTCTACGACCACGAAGCCAAAAAAGCCGCGTCCGGGGTCACGTACAGTTAGTTCATTATTACCTTTGCGATGGTGAAAGACAGAATACAGCACATAATCTAGGTCCAGTGGACGGACAAAACGCGATCCACGGAAACGCGCAACTCGTTCAACAGCAGAATGTCGGAAGAGGGGACGGTATTAACAATAACAACAATAACAATCTGATCGCCGATCGGCAAGCGGATGCCGAGCAGGTGGATCTGAGGATCGAAGATGTAAGAATCGACAGTCTCCGAGACGAGGTCGCACGCGACGACCACAATTATCACCACCATCATCATGTCGTAAGCTGTGAGCAAGGAGACGAGATAACGAGCGAAAATCAAGATCCAAACGAATCTTCAAGGGTAAATGTCTTTTAAGTGCCTGCCATTTGTCTAGGCGTTTTTGTCATGCCCAGTTCGTAGGTCGGTCATCGATCTTCTAACTAACATAACAACTGGGTGTCGTTGGTTAGATACCAGCTGTGATAATGTTTATAGCGCAGGTGGGAGAAGCACAACAGCAAACTATTGAACGGTTGCCCGTAATACAGACTGTCCTTTAGTATTTCGAGGAATGGTGAATGAATGACGAGTATTTAATGTCCCTTTTGGAATATAGAACTATTGCCAGAATAAAGGACATTGCGTTTAGTGTCACGATACCGCTCGACATACAGGTTTGGTCAAAAGACATGGTAGTCGTTACTGGACAGTTGTTGTTGGTCAATAGCCTAAAAGGGCTGAATGGTATTGAATAATGTGCTTTTCTGCTATGGTCATCGTAGTATCTACCAATATATTATGCGATGTTTGCGTAATCAAATATCCAGCTTCATTATATCATGTATACAGTGGTATTCGCTAGCGGGAACGTATTAGGCACCACCGTTATTTTTGAAATAGAAAAATTGATTTCAAATTGCCACCGTGCGAAAGAAAAATCATTTGTACATTTTAGACAGTCATATACAATATAGTAATTAACGTTAAAGTCACATTTTTATACGCATATTGTATCGTAACTTACGAATAGCATTCTCTAGCTCATAAATGTCCGAAACGTGTCTATTTGTTAACGAATTAACGTTGCTACCTTGTGCGTAGTGCAAAAGCTCGCCTTCGAGTTTTTCCTGCTATATATTTCATGATGCCGTCACTAATACTCACTGATATCATAATTTTAAATGATAAACAGACATCGCGACCTTATGCAATGCGCCGTTAAAGAGGGGGAGCTCCCCCGACGGTTAAGCAGCATAAGCGTCTGCTTTATTTATCGTCATTGGCTGTGCATTTCTTTTCTGTTTTGGGCCTATTATTTTAAGCGCGTCGAGGGCTTAGCAGAATGCAAGGATATTAGCCGTTTAATATCTCAGTAAAGTCCTGCGGCAAAATAAGACGCTCTATTCGACTACCCATGAAGAAGACGGATACTCGCACTCTGTATTTGTTCTTCACGTAACTGCTCTACTAGCGAAGTAGGTTCGGTTAGGGTGTTTTGTTCTATCTATGGGAGTGCGCTGTTCATTGATTCAAACTATTACAGATTTGGAATCATAAAGTTAATGTGGGTCCTCGGATTGATAAGATTGGTAAAATGGTTTAAGGTAGCATGTAGACTCAAAATCGTGCCGATATCAAAAAGGGCAATATGCCATTACGTTGTCCATCGATCTTCTAACCATAGTTTTACCTAGCTACAAGTTGTTTCTCCGCTTTTTTCTAAATTCGCACTTGTTTGTATATGTACGTGATGATATTTAGCATGTATTTACATATCTGTGTCACAATGCCGTCTCTTATCACGCCTGCTCACTGGCAGATATTCCGAAATAACACAAAGAAGTGATATCATGGCCTATGTGCACCTTTTGCATATACCACTTTACTACTTCTTGCAAATTCACTTGGCAATTTCTAGTACGATATGAAAAAGAATATGGATAACCCACTCGACTGCCCTGTTCTTAATGATTTGAGCCTCCTTCCATTTTGCATGAGATGTTTAATGTTATCCACATTAGTAGCTCGACTTTCCAGATAGTGACGACGTTACATGAGATTAGATATTTTTTTTTCTTTTGTAATCCTTTCGCCATTCATCCTCCTTAGCCTGACAGCATTGGCACTCCCACCCGAGCAGTTATCTTCTATTAGCGCTAGAAAAATTTGTTTGAATGTAATATTTATAGTAGCTGCGGCTGTATTTTCCGCGCTGGTAAACTATCAGTAAACACATTCTGTGCTCTTATCCTGCCCATATCATCCACCCTACCCGTAGCATACCAGCATAAATATTACATAACACAAACGAACGCTTGTCCGCCGGAAAAAGTTGACGTTTTCTGAGATGACTAGACCGGCTGCCACATCCGTCCGAACGTTGTTGGCCCGGCAATCTCAGTGGGTCTTTTCCCTTTCGATGTAGCGAACTATGTGCGAGTTGTGATTTATGGATGTCGTCGTTCTTACCTGATTTACTATTCATCATTGGCGACAGGCATCTTTTGGACGTTATTTTTTTGACAACAACGTATTTCGTGACACGAGGCATACTCACGATAACTATATTATTTAATAAATTAGACAGGTAGGTTAGTCGTGAGCTACGTGTTAAATAACTGAGAGTTGTTCTTGAGCTTCAATTTAATGTGGCGGCGAGAGGATCGCACCGCTAACATCGTAGCTAAACACACATTATACCAAAGGAAGACTTATGTTGAAAGCAGGCGGTTTTTCTTATATCTAACCTAACTAGCCTCATTTCGTAGTTTTTACCGGCGTCAGTAAAAGCCTCTATCAGATTCATGATCGATTGACTACGCTTACTCTGCGGCAATGACTGTCGACCCAATTGGCCATAATTAAATACCTCGAAGAGACTAAGCCCTATCCTTCGTTGTGTAATAGGGCGTAGACAGATCAAATGCTAACTGTAATACACGCCCGATGAAATATACCATCTACAAAATACGCAGCTTCTCACATTGATAACACATGGGTGTGTATTCGTCGTATGAACCGTGCCGAATTTCACTGCTACAGATCTATTCGGTGCAACAGATTCTAGATCAGGTTGATAAGTATCCTTTAGAAATCTCTAGGAATTTTTTTGTTGCTAAGAGCAAAACCGTTGCTTTCCAGCCGAGTGCACAGTTACCAAGCATTGGAAAAGTGCGTTCGCTAATTTTTTTGTTCGACTTCGTTTCTACTTTGACTCTATAGCAAGCTAGCGTGGATTCGACTTGGGAAATAATCAGCCGAAATTCGGTGCAGGGCCCATTGCCGCCCGGCTGGGAAGAGCGAATGGACGCCAATGGACGCAATTATTACGTCAATCACATTTTGAGGTATACCCAGTGGCGTCGGCCTACTTTACACGAGGCAACGGATAATTCAGCCGCACAGACCGAGTCCCAGAACTGCGGTGGTGAAAGTGCTATGAGCAGAGCTAGTAGCAGCTCTGTGCCAGCCGAACTGCAGAACAGTCGAGGCCACGACGAAATAGGCCGCCACAGAGGATCGATAGGAACTTTCAGACAGACTTTAGACAGCAGTGGGGCAGGTAAAAGCTGTTCGCGTTCTCAGCAATTTAAATCGCTCAAAGTATGACCGCCACAATTGCCGACCTTCAATCATTGCAGTACTTTAGATACAATGTGCTTTACTTTCTTTACACGGCCCCCAAACAACTCATAGGAAGTGGAGCGTGACCTTTGAAGTCCCTTCGAAAGCACAAAAATAAAGCCAGACAGCCAGAATCTCTTAATCAACGAGAGATTACTTTATTTATTCTTATTGAGTAGCCCTAGCATCTCATTTTTATCACAGCCGTCATTTTCTCATTACCAACTGTTACCCGCAAGTTGTCAACTATTACCTCAGTTAGTTGACAACTTGCGGGTCATTGTTAAATATGACAAAAGTTATTAATGCAATGTTTCTCTCTTGTATCAATTGCCTGCTTTTTGAAGTGGCCAACGGAAGTTGCAGTTTGCCCTCTTGAAATTGCTTTCGGCTAAATACACATTGTGAGGCTAGCAAGCACGCCCTGTTCCTGCTATGCTTGCGATTTATTATTATTTAGTGTGTAACGTAGATCTGCTACCACCTGTTAAATTCAAATGAAAATCAATTAAACCGTGCTCAACGTGAGTTTTACCCGTATGCTGAGTACAAAGAACAGGTTTTTTTCTATAGCGCCATGTTGGGCCCTGTTGTCTGGAACATGGAAATGTTTCACCATCTTGTAAATTTCAATATTTTTGTACAAATCAAAGCGTTCCCTATAAGATGTGCTATCTTATATAATTGTGCATATTAATAACCGGAGCAAATAAAACTTACGGTTATTTATAGCCTATAATGATAGATTACTCAGCAAATTTTAAGTAGCATTGTCTGTCACACGACATAGTATTAGATGTGTCGTGGGGCCTCCTCATGTTCAAACTTTTCCAATTTGGAAAAATTTTTTCCAATTACAATAGATTCCAACAATAAAAAAAACAAAAAAAATCAAATTCGAATAAGTCCAAATTAGTTTCGTGCCATTTACACAATTGAATGAAATATCAGTTTTCGTGTATCGTACTGGCTCCATGAGTTTCACTTTCCCATGGTATATACGTAGGTACTATATGCTACCTAAGTAAGTAAAAAGGTACGAAGGTTGCGTTATGCTTTGGATCCAGAGTGCTAATTACCGAAATGGTAAAATCGATTATAAATCCTTATTTTTCATTTGGCAACGCAGGGTAAAATATAGTTATATTTTTTTCTCATAATCGTTTTCCTATGTTACTCCGTTTATGTGCTTAAATTGCGAGGCTGTTTATTAGGCGGAGGTGCAAACGGAGAAGCCGGCGGTATCTCAACTGCGTCATCGGCTGGAGGACAAGTGAGTTCGCCTAGTCATGGGGACTTTGGGTTAGCTGGGCTATCGTTGGAACCCCCGGAGGGAAATGGAAGTTCCGGAAAATCGCTAAGATCTTCACAGGGATCAGAAATCCCCGTCGGCTCAGCCGGTGCTTCACATGGAGATGAGGATAGTGCTCGGTCTGGGGCGATTTTAGACATAGTCGATAGCAATGTCAGTTCTCTCTCAGCACGGCGACATGAGGGTTTAGCCAGGTCACCTGAGCTGTCATACCAAAGTGGAAGCCCCGTCAGATCAGTAAGACCTACGCAGTCGCCAGGTGCTCGAGCTGGGTCGGCAGGGTCTCTACAAAATAGAGTCGGATGTCAGCAAAGAGTGCATATCTCACAAGAGGGAAGACTCACTTTGGATCAGTCGGCTGGCTGGCAACAAGCACAGCTTGATACTAACGGATTACCTGCTGGGTAAGTTAACTCACCTGGTTAGAGCTGTTGTTTCTCGAACCTGTCTGTAACAAGTGCTATGAGGTGCTACTTAACTATGACTACGATGAAATTAACTGGACAATAACCTCGTTTTTAATTATGATTCAACGTAGGTAGGGAGCTGGACATTATACAATTGGAAAAATATGAAGCAGCGATATAACGCGTCGCTGTCTACCACTATTATTGAATACGGTCATGTGCGTTGTTTTCTAGGTGGAGCCTACAGGTCGCCCCTAATGGCCGTGTTTTCTTCATCGATCACAATACAAAAACTACAACCTGGACAGACCCTCGAACAGGTAAACCTTCGCATATTGCCAGTCCCTCAGGGGCACCGAAGGGTCAAGGTAGTACCACCGGTAGCACGCTTACGCTCAACGAAAAACAGCATGCGTCTGCTTCAGGTAAAGTAGAGATAAGAAAAACTGAATAAAAGTCGTTTGAGATAAAAACTTTCGCTATCATGTTTTCGATTAGTCCTTTGTGGAGTAAATTAATTAAGCTAAACTATTTTATAGGTCTATATTCATCTGTTTACAAGCTACAGCATACTTGCTAGCCTTAATTAATAGCTATTTATATATATATTAATTATTAAATTAAGAGCGATGTACTTGACAGGCGTATTTTTTGTACCTTGTTTTAGTGGACGAATTAGGTCCTCTTCCTGATGGCTGGGAGGAACGAATCCACACCGATGGTCGAATCTTCTTCATCGATCATTCGAACAGGCGAACTCAATGGGAAGACCCACGATTTAATAATCCCGAGTTGGCTGGACCGGTATGTTGATGCCTTTGTGTATGTGTATGTGTGAGCGTATATTTCGAGCGATTTTTTCCTTTAGTGGAAATTACTTTTTGCGAGAACAGTATCATATAGATACGGTACAGGGTTACAAGCAGAAGATATTTAAATATCACTCAATGAATAACTACTAACAACAATACTTGCAGTATTGACGCTTTTCTTTGGAAAGTAGCACTCATTGGCAAAGAAGTTTCCTATAATTCTCGATGTCAATTAATAAAGCGTCATAATTTGATGACTAATAAAACATCTATATCACCCCAATAATGGCTTATGTCAGGCTGTTCCGTATTCACGCGACTACAAACGTAAATATGAGTATTTCAAATCGAAGCTACCCAAGCCTCCAACAACACCTTCAGGCGGCCATGCCAAACTCGAACTACGTGTGACCCGGTCAAATATATTCGAAGATGCTTATATGCAAGTGTCATCCGTGACGAAGACTGAGTTACTGCGAACGAAACTTTGGGTCGAGTTCGACTCAGAAGAAGTCTTAGATTATGGTGGGGCCTCAAGAGAGTTCTTCTGTTTACTTTCGAAGGAAATGTTTAATCCCTATTACGGCCTATTCGAGTATTCAGCCGCGTAAGTATCAATGTGTAGAAAATTATTCTACTAATATATAGGACTGTCCAATTAAATAAAATAGATGCCTTATACAGTGGGCTCCTAGTAATAAGGCTTTCTTCTTGTACAAAGACATACTGCTGTCTTTTTGGTATAATCATCTAGAACAACACATTTAATTTCCTGTTATCCTGTGACCATAGGGATAACTATACGCTTCAAGTTAATCCAATGTCCGGCGTGTGCAACGAGAACCACATACCATACTTCAAGTTTGTGGGAAGAATTGCCGGTATGGCTGTTTACCATGGCAAACTTCTTGAAGCCTTTTTCATTCGGCCCTTCTATAAGATGATGCTGGGCAAAAACATCGTATTAAAGGTAAGTATTGAGGTAGAAGTACTGAAATGCAATAGCTGATCGATAGCTTTCATGCCAAATCTAAGCGGCCAAATGAATAAACTGCTAGCGTAATCAAGCCGTACTCAAAACTACATTTTGAATAGCTCCACAGAAATTTATATTTATCGTTAATTTATATTCATCACTCATTTAATAATAGATAAATAAGAATATTTATCATTAACATCAATGTGATGTGAATCTCTGGTGTTGCAGGATATGGAGAGTGTCGACACAGAATACTTCCGATCACTTATGTGGATACAAGACAACGACCCAGAAGAGCTGGACCTTCGGTTTTCTGTTGACGAAGACCTTTTCGGTCAGACTCAGGAGCGAGAACTGAAGCCCGGTGGATCCTCGGAGCGTGTTACGCAAGCCAACAAAGCTGAGTACATTGATCTCGTCATCAGCTGGCGCTTTGTATCGAGGATACAGCCGCAGATGAATGCATTCCTCGAAGGATTCAACGAGGTCAGGGCACATTCACCGCTCACCAAGCCGAAACTTCTATTATAAATTTAAACGAATATTGCATTCATTTTTATACTTCTGTGTTGCGCCGCCACAAAAACAGTATCATTAGTAGTAAAATTTTTGTTAACCCACTTTTAACGCTTGTACACTCGCTCCGAGGCTATATCGAAGTACTTTATAAATTTGGCGATACTTACATTTTCATAGGTTAACATGAAGGTGACCGAGTGTTTTACCTTCAGTGGCATCAAGCGAGTACATGGTTCAAACGCAACATAATAACAACTTTTAAGTACCTATCGAACACATCGCCATCACCACTTACTGCGTAAAAACACAAAATAATTTTACAAATTTTCTAAGCGAAAGGTTTCATAAGATACGTCTAAGCAAATATAATACTCGCCTGCATAATAGGTATTTGTTACTTCTTGTGTAAATCACTGCTGTCGTATAATAAATTCATTACTGTTATTACGCTCCTGAACGACATACTGACTCTGCTTCGTCTTGATACATCCTCGGACTATTGCAGGTGGTTCCACTGCAGCTGTTAAAGGTGTTCGATGAAAGTGAACTTGAGCTGCTGATGTGTGGCATAGGAAAAATCGATGTACGAGATTGGCATGTCAATACCCTATACAAAGGTGGGTATCATCCAAACCAATTGGTGATCCAGTGGTTTTGGAGACTGGTGCTTTCTTTCGACAACGAAATGCGAGCTCGCCTTCTGCAGTTTGTTACCGGAACATCTCGTCTGCCTATGAATGGATTTAAAGAATTGCAAGGTAATCACTAAGCAAACATTTGCAAGTTTGTTCTAAAGTTACTAGTGCCTCACGGAATTATTGATTGAAACATGCAAATAATGATTGAACGGAGTGCCTAGGTCAAAATCATATGGGTAGCTATATGTGAACCACTGAAGTAAACCTATGCGTGGTATAAACTGATTTCCCAGGATCGAACGGTCCGCAGCAATTTACGATTGAGAAATGGGGAAACAGCTCAAATCTACCTCGCTCGCATACGTGTTTCAATCGCATAGACTTGCCTCCGTACGAAAGCTATCAGGAACTGCGCGACAAACTCATCAAAGCCATCGAGGGATCTGAATCTTTTGGAGGAGTTGACTAGAATCGTCTACTACCAGCCAACATGTCTCATTAAGCGAAAGCATTGTCTGCCTATAGTATCAACTGAAGTCAAACTTGTCATTGTAAAATGATAAATAGTTTATATATATATATATTACATGTTTCTACTGTATATGGTTAACGGAAATCAGCTTTTCAGTGGCTCTTCTGTGGTCGTTAGTTGGTAAAAAAAACAATAGTCGGTATTGGTGAATGCTCGTTGCTAAATATACGAAATATGAAAACATATTAAGTGCGCACCATTTTATTTTGTATATGGAAAATGATAATCACATATGAAGAAAGACTTCATTCGAGCAAAATGTATATCAATTTTCGTAAGTATATCACGCAGTTGTTTTGTTTATTTTAATCGAGAACAACTGATTTTTAACAATTAGACCTTTGAGTCAAATTGATCATCGCAAGCAATCATTGAACGAGTCGGAAAGACCGAAAATATCGAAACGTCAATCAAAAGTGATACTAAGAATAGGATATAATAATAATAATAATAATAATATGTTCTCTTCGTTGAAAGCGAAGCCTACATATATCTACATCTAGCAAATATAAAAAGTTTAATATATAAAAAATATAAAGAGATAAATCAGATAATCGGAAATGACCGACAGTCAAGGCAAACGCAGATTTTAGTTATTATCGGGAAACGAATCGACGACGATATCGATATAAAACGAACAACACAGTGTTATTAATAACCGGATATAATAATATTGACGATAAATATTGGATAATAATAATACCACGGGTATCAGTTGACGAATCAACTGCTGGGTCTCGATTAAACAGTGATGAGTCTCAGGGTACAATTTTGATAATAATAACAATCATCATCGTTGCACAAACAAGATCGCAACTTTGATGGAGACACAGTAAGTTTGAAAATAGTAAGTATCACCTAATTTTACTCGACCTGAAAAGTACATTTGACGAAAGTGCCAGAAGTTGAGTGGCAGCGCTGGAGATCCACACTAACCAATCGAGCTTTTATGAGCAAAGCCTGATTTTTTTTTTCAACTATTATTGACAATGCATGCCCCAAGTCGTTGTTGCTCATTGGTTCTGCTTAATTTGTGGTTTTTTGTCACCCGTCGTTAGAGTCGGAAAGTCTGAAGAATATGGGGCAAAAACTGAACGCGAGTCGTTTAGGTACAAACATCGAATAAATCGGAAATGTAAGCAAAACGAAAAAGTTAAAGTGATGAAAAAGAAGAATAGCGGAATTTCTCCTCTATTGGGACAACGTTAGCAAGCCGAAGAGTCTCTACTTTGTTATTGAGCGAGGACTGGCTTTGAACTCCGGACACCGGAAGTAAAATGACATGTACAGGAAAGAGGGAGCCACATTAGTCTATGACCTTATGATGAACAGAAATACCGACACATAAAGATCTTTGCATATGATTGCTTTCAGGCCATCTGTATGTTACCATTTGAAATTCATGTGGAGTTGAAATTCGGATGTATACTCAGAAAATAACGATGACTTTGTGATTACATGATTATAGAAGTGCAGCATTTGGGGGCATTAGGTGCTGAAGGATGACAAGAGACAGCAATATATGTCTTCCTCGTCGAGTGTCAACGATAAGCTTTTCTGGAAATCGAGGTCCAGCGGTATGGGGAAATGACGTGGATATGATGCATTGGTATTGGCCATATCTTCTCTATCACTTGTGGCCATCACGTCCACAGAAGAGACATCCATACACCTTCTATAAGTGATGTTGTTGAAAAACACATTGTTGTCACTTTTTACATGCTAATTTACCAGCTCAATAAGAACAAGGTAGGCGCAAGTTGCGGAACAACAAACGAGGTGAACAGTAATTCAGTAATACTTAATCTAACATTAATTACAAAAGCAAGAAAAGATTCTATGATTTAAAAAACATATGTGAACGACGTGACCTTAAAAATGTGACGTGATCACGTACATAACATTATATATCAAGATATATATTCCAACGAAAGGTTCGATCAAAATCAAGTATAGATCGCATACATGAGCAAGGCTTAGTTGAATTATGAAAGAACTATCAGGAAATAATGTGAGCGCAATAATCTATACTGCTACTGGGATAGGGTATGCTATATACGACAAGAGTCTCCATTTTAGGCTCATGTGGTTACTTAAACAGTCATATTGAAGACAGAAAACATACAAAACACAAACAGAAGAATGTACGAATAAGCCACAAAAACAATCACCGTTTACTCAATTATTATACAATAAATAAATATTATTGAATAAATTATGTGCATAATTATAATCAATACATTATATTATACGTAATAGTGCTCGATTCTTTATGATGTTACATAAACGTGCAATGTTGTCTGGAGAATTATATTTTCTAGAAAACTGTTTGACGAATACTCTTTATTATTACAGCTTTGCATGGAAATTTGAAAACGCAGCTGATGACTTAATCGGTCCTAGACAGTCGTTCTACTATTACTATTATGTGTTGGGTTGTGTAGGAAACAACAATTTTTAGGCTTTTTCTTGTTGGGTACCATTACTGCATACTTGTTGAATGTGATTTGCAGTAGGTGACCATTTTCGCGTCGTCTCGCTGAGCTTATCTTTTAGTAGGGACGAAACGACAGAAGCTAAGAAGAGCGTGAAACCGCTCTGTACGTTCACAATGGCGAATGTTCATTGAATGCCAGTGTCAGTTGTAGGTTATACTGACATAATGGAAAATTTATTAACCCCAATGTTGATCAAGAAACTTTTCTGCTACCGGCATATTATACACAACACTGATATATAAATTGGGCCGTAAATCATTCTTTATATTTTCAGTAATTAGATTGGAAAGCTCTCGGGAATATCATGTATGTGCGCTCTTTAGCTATCCAAAAATGTATCTTTTGGCCTTATTCAACAATAGTATTAAATACACGCGTATATAAGACAAATCAATTTGTATAACAACAGCAACGCTTTTAGAAACACACACACACATAATAGTATACATACACATACACATATAAGTATACATATACATAACGAAAATAAGATAATGTAATTACGAGGAACCATAAGCAAGTGCGGGTCAGCATCAGTAAATGCCAGCCATAAGTCAGATCCATTTTGGTTGAATAGGTACTACCGCTAATAAAATGTGGAAGTAGCAAAAAAGCGTTTTTTCTACTTCCACATTTTATTACACACAAAGATCCGTAGCGGAAAGTAAGCGGTCTCCTCTGTGTAGGTTGGCATAAGAATCAGAGACTTAAAAGCTTCTGGAAATATTTAGTACTATTGGAATTACTAACTGTGTATAACCTATGTATTGCTACCAATATGTAGGCTGAATTGGTAAATGTTCGTTTCGGAATCAAGCCCTTCAATCAATAGACAATAAGAAATAAAAAAGTGAGTTATACCAACATGTCTAATTTTTCTGCAAGAACTAAAGTAGCTTTTGGTTAACAGTTGTAAAAGAATGATGTAAAATTATTTTTTCAACATACCTCTTATTGCTTTGGTAGCATATATTTATATATTTCAAAATATAGTAATAATATGTGAATTTCATTAATGCTTTGTCCGTATAAAGTTCATATAAACCTCTGTAGGTATATATTAAGTTGGGCCCTACAGCATAATTAGGACAGCATTCTCGTCCTATTTTTGTTCTGCTAAGTCTCATGACCTTTCCAGAAGATAGTTTTTACCTCCGCTGTTATTAAAAAGCGCAGCTGTTATAGTTAAGCGTTTTGTTCGATTGGCTTTAGATGAATCTGCAAGACATTCCATTTCTATATCTGCGCTAGATAACAAGCCGCCATAAAGGATCACTCTAATCAGGCGTACGTATCTGCATTTCATAATATAAGTAAACAATTACCTATTTATCAAGCAAAACTTTTTCATTAATTATCACATTGCACGTAGCTAAATGTAGGATAATATATGTTATATTTATTTACTTAGATATCCTAGATAACATCAACTAGCAACGGCAATTATTTTGTAGAAATCTAGTCGATGTTACACTAATGTATTTTGGGAAAGTATATTGCAGTAAAATGGTGAGAAAATCTTCGCGCACAATACAGCTGAAACAAATATTGCGAGCTCTAGTTGACGGGACACGAACCTGTAACCAAAGGCTGCACGAAACCATCACGCTGGCACGATTCCTGAACGTTTTCCATTTGTCCATCACCTCCTCTGAGAAACGCTTAGCTCTCTGCCCCGCAGAATGAAAACACCACTTAATAGACGACTGTTGGGCTCATATCTTTGTTCCGAACCACACGCAGAACACACAATGTGCAAGTATGTTCGCATGAGATCCATAAGTGATACCTCGACAACCGGTCTAAGCTGTTCAGGTTTCAGTCACGAGCCATCGTTTTCAAAGAGTATCGCTGTCACTTTTGTAATATTATAATTTAGTAGAGTTGTTTTAAGGAAGTTTACACAAACGTATAATTATATTTATAAAAATTTTAAAAGTTTTCGATAAATTAACAAACTACTTACGCGTAACAAACTACTTATACCCTCCAGAAGTCTATACTTTGCCGAACAGATGTACCAGGATCTGGTCTAAATGTAACTTCTTTTTAATGTCATTTTTTAGACCCTTTTTAGGCTGTAGTATTTAAAAAGGGATTTACTCGTTAAAATGTTTCACATTACATTTTATTCCTATTTAAGACATCAGCGAAATAGGCATTTACTTAATAACTTCACCATTTATTAATGCCTTTGCGAAACCGCCTTGCTTCAAAGAACAAGCATGAACACAATCTGCCTGTCAAAATAATCTTGCAGCGCTGCCTACTTCTAAATTTAGGTGGCCAAAAGCATAAACAGAATGCCCTGAAAATAAATGGCCGTTTATAAAATAAAATAAGCTAAAAAAATAAAATAAACATATTTTCATATAAATTTTCGTCTTGTTTAGAAAACGGCCGCGTGTATAAAATATCTAAAGATCCCCGATAGATCTACCTCAATATTTTATTTGTCAAGCGTGTTATCAACATTTTCCTGCATCGAATGTGATATTGCAGCTTGGGACCTTTTATAAAATTAACTTCGTGCGTAAATCATCGATTGTTTATAGTGTAGATCGACAACGCGACAACAAGAGGGCAGTCCATGAGAACAATTCTTCTATGAAATCTGTGAAAAGGGATAGTTATGGTATATTTGTTGACATGATATCAACAACAATAGGTTAGGTTGAGTCATGATCTATATCATAGAGCTTTCGTTGCATTTAAATCGCCGATGCATACAGAACTGTAAATTTTAGTTTAATACCCAAACACTACTGTCAGATGGGATGTATTATCTCGACTCCAGGCTTCGGTGTTAGGCCGAAATATGCATTTGCATGAAATCTTGTTAAGAGTCGCGGGTGCGAGTTTTTTTTTCCAAATATATAGTAAACTCGGTGATAAATGTATAACTAAATAACAAAGCATCATGGCAATAGTACAGACAGCTATCAACTTTAATGGTAGCGTAGTAATTCTTTATTCTTCCTTTTATCGCTTATTTTCTTGACTATAAATACCTGAAAACAATATTTCCTTAATTCTGAGATTTGAACTAGCGTGGCATGGGATTTTAATTAAAGGGATGCGCATTAGCCATCCAGTCCACGCCATCTTTTGTTAAATAAGCTAACTATATATAACTCCATATAAAAAAATATCGTTTCTTGCTGACTGATTGGCTCGTATCTGTATTCGAATCTGGCGCGCTCGCGAAGTGTCAGTACTGCAATGTCTGCGGTCATGTGGTTTCGCATTAAGATCTCGTGAACAATAACAGAGTACTATAGCAATAGTTGGTGAGAAACAGAGATTGTAGTGTGTAGTGCTATTTTGTGTGAAGACACTATTTTAAGTGCAGTAAGTTGGCGATTTGTTTTACGTAAAGTTCCACTATGGGAGCGGGAGTGCTCGCAATTCTCTTTTTTACGATATTCTGGGGTTTAATAGGCATTGTTGTTCCAATTTTCATTCCCCGTCGCGAAAATCGACCGTAAGTAAAACTTTTGGCATCTGACGACGCACTATAGACTTAGTTGAGTGTAACCATAGTTTTCATACTACAAGGCTCATAGAAAAAGGAAAGTCTGTAATTATAACAATTTCATACATTACGCATGTATCGTTAGTTTGAACTATCTGCATAAATCAAACTGAAAAACAACTGCAGCTTTTTTTCGCCACCAGAAAATTCTTAACTGCCATTATTGATAGTGAATCGTAGATGTATCTATCACAGTAGGATTGATTTACTACTTTTTGTCTGATCCAAAGGAAAACTCTTTATATAGAAATAATTGAGCCATACCACTGAGCTAAAAGGTGGGCTGGAAAGCAGGAGTATTATTTTAAAGAGTGATGATTGACTTAATTTAGAAAATCAATTTAGAAAATTCGTAGAACTTAAAAAGATCTTGTTATTTTTTTCAAATTGTTTTAGGTTGATCCAAGTATGCATCTCGCTAACGGCAGTGTGTTGCTACGTCTTGTAAGTTTAACTATTACATTACACTTATTTCACCAGCATTGTTTACGTGGCGCAAGCGAAATAATTCTGCTTTTAAAACATGATTGAGTCATAGGATTTGCGTTTGTTAATGTACGGATTTATATAGTGACCCACCTTTAGGTCATTCTTCAAGTAAAAGCGAATGAATCGCTTGTAAGACATTCAGTATACTCGCAACAAAATGTAAATACTTCTTCACTTTATTTTAGTATATGTTTTTCTATTTCTTTAATAGTTCCAGTTTGTAATAATCTTTTAACTAGAGTAGCAACTGTCATGACGTTTGAACAACTCGCAGTCCAAGTTGAAGATGAATGCATAAAGTTAACACTGTGAGGAATATAGAAGTATATTACGTATAAAGTATACTACGAATGATCAATTATTTTATATAATTTTAGGCATAACATTACAAAAAGTGGAATCGGTAGACAGATTAAGTAGTTAAGAAAGTATAATATTATCTAAAGCCGGAAAAACTGACTGATCTAAAAGATACGTAACTAGCTATAATGCTAACGCAGTTTTTCTAGATAAGATACTCTATTATATACGCCATATTATAAGGATGTACAGAAGTATTTCATGCAGTATTCCACTATTTCGTGTAATTTCGAATCTTATCGTAAGTAAAATTGGTACTAATGACGACTCGTTGACAGCTGGCTGTGTACATACATGGCGCAGATGAATCCCTTGATCGGACCTATGCTAACGAAGGATACGCTCTGGGCAATCGACGCGTATTGGGGTGGTCACGATAGCTCGGCATTAGTGTCTGCGTCTACCCCGGGTCCCTAGAAACCCTCATGCATAAAATCGTTGCAAATTTGGAACAGAGCGCAAAGACAAAGACCCTCAATGAAATTTTGAACAGTCACAAAAGCTAGGTCCACATTTTCTACTTGAACATAAAGAAGTGGACGAAACCAAATTGTTATCTTTCATGTTCCTCAGCTATCAGGAGAGTTTTACGCAGCCCACAGTCATCTGTTCATAGACATGCGGAAATGAACGTCGTGTCAAAAAATCTTAGAAGAATATAAAAAAAAATAATTGCTAAACTATACGAACGACCGACATAGATAACACAAGGGCGAACAGGGTTGAACAAAAAAGAATGTAAAATATATCTAATTCTATCGATGCTTTTGAAAAAGCGAAACTGAGAGAATATATTTTTTCAAAAAAAAAATTGGCCATGATTGTGTATGACGACAATTCTCTAGTAGCTTAAGCTAATTCAACTTACTACAGTAGCTATTGCTAATGAATCTAAGAAGCTGTATAAATGGACATGTTAATGACTTAAATCAAGAGTGTTGTTTAATGCTGTTTGCAAGCGCAGATATAAAAATGTATTACAAATATACCATTTATGTAGAGCATTTATTATCTAAAAGAAAAATTAGAACGGTAATAAAATATGACTATGCAGTTTAATTGTACTTGTCTTCGCTTGATTTGAATATACGCGTATAGATCTTTAGTGGAATAAAATACGTGGAACGGCTACTTTCATAATTGTACACGATGTTCATATAGATTTGTTAGTGCCTCTGTTACTTAGGGTCGTATATATATATTTAATACAGCTGCGTTATTCAATGCAGCTGTAAAACAAGTCTGTACAGTGTCGCACTTGGATGATCGCGTCCTTAGACTCAATCAAGACACTACTTTTTAAAAATCAACATATAGTTTATTTTAAATATCTTTTTGGATTCGCATACCATTGCCATAAAATCGCGTTATTTAGAGCTCCCTTGGAAACATCTCATCATTATAATAATCTAAAGAATATCTTTCAGTCAGGGTTCGCTGTTGTTCTCCTCAGTAAATAATCGCGGTTTACCTTTATAGCATCGTCGCCATCAGCATCACCTATCAATCATAATAATAACGATATTCACGCTAAATAATATCCTCAGCATTATCGCTATGGTCATCCATGAAAAAATTAACATTGTTTCGTCATTATTATCATAGTTCTTGTCCTATAATCGTTAGCGCGTGATAAAATACAACGTTTCTTTCTTTCAGTTATAGTTCTCCTTTGGATTTTCTTTTTTTTAACACTCATTTTTTGTATACAAATCAATCAATCAATGTAGCTCGCGACAATTATGATTGTATAATAATAATAGTCGATTAATTCAGCACGTCAGTTGATTGCAACTTATCACTGGCTTCTTCCTGGCTTTTCCAAGTTCCTCCGCTTTGCTATCATCTCGGAGCAGAAAACGGGCTTTTCTGCATGAGCCCGCGTTACGACGAAAGATCAGCGAATACGAAAACGTCCGTTCAAGGTGTTGTTGTTATAACAACTGTCAGTTTCTTCCCAAAGAGGAGTGGACATTGACTTTTTTCTTTTTTCCCTATTTTCTACCTAGGTAGCCAAATTCACGTGCTGTTCTTTTCTCATGAATAATAAATCTACATTAATACCTTTATAAACTTCACATATGGGTGAATTATCGTAATCATGCCTTCTTACATGTCCACTTTCTCCCTCTTTTTTTTTATATGAAAGTGCAACACTAAGTGTTTTCGGTATCTCCACCATTTTTAGGTATAAGAAACTCGCTCATCTGCTTTCATCAATCCCTCATTTATCATACTCTTCGCTTATCGTCGTATCTTTGTGCACTGCATATCTGCGTCGCCTTGAGCGCGGACTTTCACCTCTCGGTTTTCCGTGACCTATAAAATTAACAACCCTTTTTGTATATCCGTTAGAATAATAGCTTGTTTCGCCACTTTTTTTTTCTACTTTCTCTTTTTGCGCAATACACACAGTGCGTTTTTCGACACGACGCGCAATGAAAAAAATGACCCCCGTTTCCAATTAAATGTGTTTGCACTAGCACATCCTTTCATTTGTTTCTGGACTCTAGACCTTGGATTAATTGTTAGTCATTAGAAAATTATTCATATTGTGAGCACTGCCAGGAGGTTTTCCCTTAATTAAGTTAACACATACATACATACATGTATATTTTGTCATGTGTTCTAATAGCAGAATGGGTGAAAATTCTTATTAATAGTGTACAGATCTAGCTATGCGCACGCTTGCGTGGAGTCTAAAGGTTTTTCCACCAGCGACGATAAAAAAGCTAACCTCATTGTTTGACCAAGCCTGTCTCATTAACTAAACGTTGGGTTATTAGAGCCTCTCGGTTTTCGATCTTTTCTAAAACAACCTGTCGGTCATTGTTGTGACGAAGAGACTGGTTTTTCCAATCTCCTTGTTTCTTCTAATCTCGCGCTTGTCGCGATCCGCGAATTGTGTTTATTATATCAACGGTGTGTTATAGTATGTGCTTCTGCCAGATAGAGACTAAGCGATTTTGCTATAGTGCATTGTTAACACAGGTGGTCGTCGTATCATAATTAAGTTACTAGCTAACTAGTACGACAAGCAACTCGTACATTTTTAATCATTTGCTTCTTCACGAACGAGTTTCCCTGAGCCACCGTCGCCATGTAATCCATCACGACATAGAATCGCAGCACGATAGAGCGTTTCACACGACTCACTTGACTTTGTTACGTTTGCGTTCTGAACAATCCGCATAACTTACAATAGGATCGCCATAACAACAGATGTTTTTGTTGCTGTCTGAATTTGTAAATCTGTTTTTGCTTCTTCCTAGATATAAGCGATAATATACTACTGTGTTTTTCTATGTATATTTTTCATATATGTATAGAGCGTCGTGTGGGTCAATCAGGGAATACCTAATAACAACAGAAAGAAATATTACATGGTTCGGACAGGTCTCTTAATGGAACTCGTTCTATCTTGTATGTAAGTGAATGCATACTTGAAGTTAACGTTAATAATAATAAACTCAATTATTAATATTGCGTCGTGGCGATGGCTGCGGTTTTTATTTATATTTGTCCCTCATATCGGTTAGATTTATTATAATAAGTCTTTCAGATGCACATTCATGTCAAATTGACGTCACTATTTATAACAAACCAGATCAACCGATTCTTAACAATGGGCATAATTATTTTATAATTATAATAGTAAAAGTATGCGTTACTTAGTATTGATCGTTGATCTTGGTCTATTGTTTTTCTCTGCTTTCCAGAGACGACAACAAGGCCATGTTTCTATTCTATAATAATAGTTATAACTAGATCGTGACTCGGCTGCCAACCAAGCAAATCGTTACGCTCAACCACACTCCTTTCAAGCTCCTGCAGACTCACCTTTTTCAGGCCCTAAGTTCAAAGTTCAAAAATTGTTTTCCGACCTGATCAGCTCCACAACATATCACCCCTATGTGCTTTAGCATCATTTGAGAAAATACATATTAGCGAGAAGCCGACCGTCAAAGCGGTTTGCAAGCAGTAATACTGTCTTTGCTTGCTAAAATAAGTGCGAAACAGTAACATGGTGACATATCAACCAGTAGGGTACAATTATCTTTCCATTTCGGCAATTTTTAACACTGCTTGTTTCACATTTAACGTTGAAATCCGTCTCAAAATAATACAGCAAAAGAGGCAGGCTCTTAAGTAATGCTACAGGCTTCACCCAGATCACAACGTTGCAAGGCTGACAACTTGTACACAGAATCTCACAGGCAGATATTGAAGATAGTACAAATAGTAGGATTTTTACGGCTAAAATCATTGTTAGTATCCATTAGACGTCTATCACCACCTAGTGGGTCAATAGGTGACCTGCGAAAATGAGCCAACTAGAAGAAGTCCGATCACTAAATTCGTTTTCGAAGTGTGGATTCGGCTGATATAGAAATGACGAATGTTGATACTAGGTGAAGGTTATGGAGACAATTTCGGCTGAAAATTTGTTTTTTTTTCTCTAGATATCTTCTACTCCTCGATGGCCCTAGCCTCCGGTAAGAAGGTCTCCCACAGTTGCGCAAGTTGTTGTTGAGTCTCGAGAAGGCACTCCATATAGCGTATAATCGAATTCTTGAATTCTTCGATTCGCTTCACTTCGAATCCTTCCACTTCGTGCTTAATAACCTTTGAAATCTAAAAAACAATATTTCAAGTTGACACTTATGACATAAGAGATTCAACAATCTACGTAAGAATATGGGGTGAGACAAGCGCAATACTCACAAATAGAATACTACTAAAATTGCCTTAACTAAAAGTCGCTAGTGAAGAAATAATAATAATGTGACAATATGTATCGATGACAAGTGTGACACATCGATGCAAAAGTCTCATTAAAGAACGCATGTGAAATCTATTTGGATAGTAACCGTTTTTATTACCTATAGTCAACTATATACGTAACGGAGGTTATGACATAACGCTGGCTTATGTGATTCATTCCCCACCTGTCGGAATTCTTCTTCTCCACGCTCGACTTTGGCTTCCCATTCCTCAACTTCGTTACGGGCAGTGGGAATTCGATCAGAACGGGCGGCTAACTGATATCGGTTGAGCTGTTCACGCTTTTTGGTAAGCGTTTGCTGAGCGTGTTGCCAGGTTTGGTATACCTTGACCCTCTGGTGGAACGCGTCCTTGATCGCTCCTACGAGACCGATGTAGTCCTGATTACAGGATAACATCAGAAGATCGTTAAGGGCACGCATTTAAAGTAATAATTCATCCAATCCAATACATTGGAACATTGTTACAACACTTGTATAGTTGGATCATATAAATAAAAACAAACAAACTCTTATTGAATAACTTTATGCCGACTGTCTCATAGAATGCCATTCATTTTTTTGTTTAATTTATTTGGTTTCCTGGAAACAACGGATGTGTATTCTTACTATAAACATGCGAATATTTTCAGAACCTGCATTAACATCCAAACCTACCTTAAGGAGCTCCGCCAGAAGGAAAAAGTCGTGATTGGCCTGTTGGCTCTGGGTTTGCTCGACCTTCTCATGAAGTTCAGAAAGCTTACTCAAACACCTGTAGTAATAGAAAAAGCTCCCGCATTATAACTATTACACAAGGGCTAAAGATTCAGGTAGACGGATGTAGTAGTAGTTTACTTCGATGTTTCGATATATTCGATTCGAGAACAGATAATTTTATAATAACTATAAGTTACCTTGAGAGTCCGGTGTGCTCCTCGCAATTGCCAAGCATCGCCGCACTACGGGCAAATATGCCCGAATTGGCAGCCAATTCCCGTCGTTGCGTTACCATAAAATCAAGGGATGTATGAAGTTTCCGCAACTGAATGTCCAGATTGTCGATGAAAACCGTTTTATCCTCGAACCACTACACACAGTGGCAGCCGTTTGAACAAGATATAAAAGCAGGAATAGATCAAAAGAGAAATGACCACATGTTAAGTACGTAACACTTAATATGGCGGAGTACGTCTGTGCTCTCAGTGTCTTTCAAAAAAATCGTTTGACTCTAACGATTTTAGCTATGCAAAAACACGACTTGAATCACAAGTTGAATTGTCTAGTTCTAGGATTAGGCTGAGCAAAAGACGATGTTAGATTTTTTAGATAAGAAAACGTTCCTGATGACTTCCTCGAACACCGACCCATGCGCTTAATAAAAACTGTTGCCAATAGTAACAATTAACCCTATCATTTTGAGTACATCCTTAGAGTGTATTCATTTTAATATATAAACAAATCGCATAGAAAATATTATTTCATTTCATGGACCCTCCCGTAAATATGTGAACGGTATCTGATTTTTACTTCCAGAAATGAATTAGATAGTCGATATTCACATGCAGTTGCATATCAAGTTACGTGTTCATCGCTTAAAGTTGAAAAAAATCAAAGGTTTTTATGATTTTATTTCATTATTGCGAGACAATAAAAACGGGATGCATACAAAATGAAAGCGAAATCAAGGTTGAATTAAGTCTGCATTTAGCGATACATAACAACATTGCCTGCGTAGTCTAGTAAACCGCTATCGGCTAATATCTATTGAGAGACGCTATAATTTAGTATGGAAAACTGAGCTTGTTCATAAAAAAATACTGTATATAATTATCGGCTAATACCTGGAGGTGAAATTCCGGCCGCTGAATTGACTGTGTATGTGCATCAGTTGTAGACGCAGCATGAAAAATCGTGTCCATATACAATACAACACGAGGTAGTAATTACACATGATAACAGCATCAATGACCACAAAAATAGTTAAGTGATAAACATGGAATGTATATATGGGTTGTGTTTATTTCAAACGTGTACAAAGACGGTAAGTGAGGAAGATCTACATTGTGATATAGGTATAAGAAAGGTGTCATTTAAGGCGTTTGTCAATGAATTATTGTGAGGATTAGTAGTATATTATTTCTACCTACAAGCGCAGGTTTTGCTGTTGTGTTGATGAGTTAGGATGTTTATAAAAGATTTCATACTATGATCTACGTACGATCTCTAATCGTAGCATACATTATAACATATAAACCACAGAAAATTTCAGAAATAAAAATATGGGAAACACACAATGTTACAATTGCAAACAACTCCAACGACTTCGAGCGATTCACCTATTGACACATGGGTATCTCCTATTTTTTTCTCAAACAGGAACGTGAAAATACATTCTTTCAACGATGATTGGATTAAGTTCTAGAGAACTGTTCTCTAGCCTGTGCAGGTCGCAAATCGTCATTTTTCATTTTGTATCATTTACGACACCACTAAGTTAGACGGCTTGTGATTTCCATTAAACGATGATGGCAAAACACAAGATACTAACACTGTCATTTTCATCCATTTTGTAGGTGATTTTATTAACCGTGTCACCGACCCGGCTAATCAGCTTGATAACGCCAGCACCGGAAAGCGCTGAAGTGTGCGTCGATTTTGGCAAATCACCTTCTAATTCAAGAAACTCCCGGAAATCAGGATCAGCGACAAGAACGGGGTGACGAGATACTCGTCTCAAGAATCGTTCCAACTGGCAGCGGCGTCGCTCTACGAATTCGTCCGTGGCAACTTCCTCTTTGCCCATTTTTACCTGATTAGGTTTAAGGAATCTTCGGTCATTATATATTCTTTCCTATTTAATAAACATTAATTATCCGTAGTGTATGCATTATCACAAATGCTACTAAAATTCTACAGCTTGCTTAATGCGCATAAAAACTGAATTGTTCTACAAAAACGGATGTTACCAATCAATGTATGTCAAATTACCGAATAATTGCTAGACCAAAATTTTTCAAACGGGCTTTTTAATACGAATCGATGAGAGAGTTCACCTTCAACAACTTTTTTGAATAGAAAAGATCTCCTACCTTCGTCATGCCTACAACGTTCTTCTCTGGCGCAGGCGGTACAATTCGGCCGGCTGCGAGGTGTTTCTCGACGAGTTTTTCATAAAGACCGAGGAAGTCAGAAAAGCGCCTTGATACCGTAAAGTCACCTTTTTTGAAGAATCCAAGATTGGTCTTTGTGATAATTTTGTACACTAGATAGGCGCTCATACCATCACCGACTTTTGTGGGCTGAGAGACTTTCAGGTCGATGAAACGGTCGTCAGGCTGACCATTGGCGCTCTGAAATCGTGTTGGTCTAAGTTGAAAAATAAGCGATTGTATTTCATAAATAGAAAAAAAAACTATTACATTTAGTAAAAAATATCACGTTTTTACGATTGACAACATTTTCCCGATTCATTGTATGTTGTCATTACGTATAGCTATCTTTTTTTTTTATCAATACATAATTAAGGGATTCAGGTCTTGCTATTGACTTCAGTAGTTCCTGTTCAAACAGAGTCGCTCAGTGGAACGGTGTAGAGTCTGCATCAAAACACGCAACCAAGATGCAATGCATTTTGTGTTTAAAAATGACAGACGCAATCAAAAGAAAAACTATCCTTCTCACCACAGTAACGACGGTTTTAAGTAATACATAAACTTAATTGCAAGTCAGTGCTCTTTTGGCAAGCCAATTTAATGCTACGGATTTATATCATTAACAATGAACCGATATGATATCGTTCCTGAAACATCCATGAAGTGAATTATTCGCGAAACTGACGTAAGTAGAACAGAATTTATTAACAAGGTTTATGCAATACCCTAATATATTGTCCAGTCATATGATGTCTCATCATTACATAATTAAAGATAAACGCAGTTTTCTAACGAAATAACTAGATACCCAAGGTTTAAAATCAAACACCAATATAAACTGCCACGTACACCAACGGCAGTCAATTTGATTTGATTTCACTTACAATGGTATTGAGGAACTGTTGTGTCTGCTGCTTATGGATGCTATGGCTGTTGTCGTTGTTATTTGTATTAGTAGCTGTGTTACTTGCGTGAAGCATAGCTGGGGGCCCGGATGAGTCGGGATCCGTTGGAGCAGGTGGGACCTAAAGCAATAAGTTCTCAGATTTCGGCCAAAACTGATATCCTATACGTTGTTTGACATGAGCATTTATTATTCTTCTTGTCATCTTTGAAATAGGAGGGAATACCTATTTCTAAACCATTGCTATTTTAAAGTCAAAGGGAAACCTGGATATGAGCACATTGCTATAATATAACCTGAATTTGCCTACTTCTAGACTAACTTGTTCGAGAGGCGAAAGATGACGGTGGTCCTCTACCGAAGTCTGTTTTGCGGCCTCGTCATTGTCGAGACCAGTTTGTCTCCTTGTGACATCCGCAGGATCATCATCGTTGAGGTCGATGTCTTCTGCAGCCTCAAGGATGTTATGATTCAGTTCTTGTTGACCTGCTGTGATTTTTCGGTTGTCTCCTTCACCTTTCCCGCCGCCGCCGCCAACACCGCCCAGTGACTAAAATCAACGTGTTATTAACATATGTACGTGGACGATTATTCATCATTTTTATCTTTATTTAACAAAGGCATACTTAGGTAAGTTTATTACATGAACTATTCACATGGAAACTGGAATAACCTGAATTAACCATAAAGGTTAAGTAGATAACGAATAGTCTGTGAGTTCGTAGATGTTACTATCTATAGTACGGCTTACAATGTAACAACAGATAAAATTGTAAATTTGTCACGTACAAGTGATTTAGCGCCTGTAAAGTCATAACTGCATTCTTTTATTTAAAAGTTGGCTCAGAACATAAAAAGGTTCATGTTAACACGTTAAGCAAACACTGTTGTTTTTTTGAAATTTCTGAATGTCAAGATGTATGCATATCCATTTAACGGGAACTTATCAAATTATTAAGTAAGTTAAACTAAACAAATTATTAAGTGATAGTTGTGTTCTATACACACTCGATAACTTACTTTAAGTCCGTAAGTGACTGTACAAGAATCACGACGTCTATTTTACTTTTTTCATGAGTTTTGTTTCAACCAAAAATCAGATACATAAACTGAGTCATCTAAGACTCTCAAAAAATGCGCTTAAACTTATTAATAATTTTCACGAGATGCCATTGTCTTAGTGTTGATATCTATGACTCATGAATTTCGTGAATGACACAATATTTTCCCTGCCGCACGAGGATATTACTGTATTGATAATATAGCGTGCAAACAGCAACAGATATTAAACCTCTATTACGCGGTCTATGAAATCGGTCCTCGACATAATTACATTGTCAAATATAATATTGAGATGTGAACAATGTTTCTGTTGACTCGGAGCAATTGCGCCTCGTCCTTTGGTTCGCTTTCTTAAACTTTTAAAATTTGTTAAACTTAAACGCATATATATTTAGGTTACTTCACGTGGTTTCAATTTTCCAAGGAATTACAGCTTTTTTTAACAGACTAAACAATTTATAGTTTCTTTCCAAAAGCTCATTCCGAGAGTAACAGCCTGATCCAACAATAAAACCTTGGAGTACAACTACGTTACCTAGCTTTTGATTTCCGATTGCTGATCAACTCATAATGCTCATATTAATATATTCATCCACGGAGTCGACACAATTGGTTACTGTAGTAAGAGCATATTAATACTTTTTATATTACTAATACTTTAATACTTATAGGACGACTTACGCAGTATCGTAGCTCAAACAACGCATTACAACAACAGCTTTGTGCTTTCTCAACTCTCCCTTGGAAGGTCTTTCAACTCTAAAGAGTAGTACTCTACCTATCACAGCAATGCTACAAGACATAGCATCGACAATTAATAAGATGTTAACAATTGTTCTAGGATACAGGATCACGGTTCTTTTTAGAAACATTAAAAAAAAAAGAGGAGATTATTCGAAATGTATTCGATTTGATTTTTCACTATTTCAAAAAAGGTATTGGCAATTCATATTTATTATAGTAGTATAAAAAACGTTATGGCATTGAAACATACCGTGAATAACAAACTAAAAGCAATGAATGATAGGAGCTTCATTCACATCTCATATTTGAGTTAATTTATTATGCGCTAACAACGACGGAGGCAAATACAACAGCTCTAAAGAGTAACACGTAACTTACTCTATAAAATCTCACGTAGTTTAGGTTTTCAGTTTACGCTCCAAACACGCATCAATTATCGTTTAAGAAAGCTTCCAACACTGAATGAAGCAAATAACTTCAACTAAAATCTGCTAGTGACTTGATATCTCTTCAATTATACCTTGAAGTTCCCGCCGAACTGTTCCCTCAGTGCTTCAAAAAATTAGATAAGGGTAAAACCTGTATGATTGACCAATACAAATTGTCGGCATGGATATCCCTGGTCAAGGTTTTCATCTCGTCTGAGACTTCACCGTAAAAGCACCCGCATTTAGAGGGAATATAAGCGTTTTCAATGTGCTCAAGTATCTATTTCATTTTAATAAACAGTTTTCGGATAATTCAGCATTAAAACGGTTTAGCACCGGTTTATCTGGTAAATCCATTAAACTCTTGTCTGGCGTTGGCGTCGATGGTTGTCAAAGTCCTTTTTGAATCGGAGATTTACCTAGTGTAACGATCGACACCAACAGTCTAGCAGCAACAGCTTCTCTGTCCATAGAATGCTGCCTGGCTTATGGCAACGCCTCTTACGATGCGTTATGTATTCGCTCCAAGCGCCGCCGCTTTCTGCGGAAACAAAGTAGATGTACAGAGGAGTGCTCCTACAACAATGGTATTACTCATATTATTGATCAAATGTGTATCCTTTTGAAATTCTAGGTTTTCTATTGCATAAGAAGACATTTTAACTGGTTAAATATTTTAGAACAACGCGTCAGAAGTTTTTTCAGGTCCACGTCGAAACTTATGCATGGCATGCTCGAATTAAGTAAATACGGGTCTGTTCTGCAGTACTGTTCTATGGTAAGTACTACATTTGAACCAGCAACTACAGGTTGCCGTAGGCGTTTTAAGTGCGTAAGATAAATAAATGTCGTTTATTTCCAAGTATCCCATATTGTACCTCCTCTATTACGTCGAATGAAAAATGAATGACCTTGTCGTGGTGGCTTAGTCGGGTTAGAGAGACTATTTCGATCGCAAATTCTAAAAATTGCTAGTTTTAGTTTGCCAGCGGACATATATATACATAACTCGTAGCATTAACGTGCTCAGATAGACGTATCGTTAAACTATAACGATGTCTGACATTGACGAAACTATTACCTATATGATCGACATTCTTATCTTTTCATTATTAAATAAATAAAATCTTGTGTTTAGACAAACGTTGCAAATACACATTGAAAATTTCTCAGCGATCGAACAGCAATAAACTAGCAGCTCACGATTTCGGTCTGCTGATCTTCAAGCGGAGAAAACGATCCCTAAGGGTCGACTGCGCACATACAGCAGAACATAAACTTCAAATCGGTGTTTGAAAACAACATTAGCGGAGCTTAAAGAAAAAAGTTTCGCTAATGTTGTCCCCATAAATTTATGTGAGAGTAATTTTTACACAAATCGTAGGCCCTTTAGTTCAAATCCGCTTGCAGGCTCATTAATAAAGTCAATGTAAGGACTTCAAAAATCTATGCGAAATGTTTCTTGAGCAGCTGGTTTCGTTTCAAACTAATTAATTTAGTTGTCAGACTAATAACTAACATCAGTTCCGCATTGCTAATAAACAGAACATATAAGGGAACCAAGATTACAATAGCTGGAAGATATCAGAAGACACCAATAGAAATCTTTATGGCCAGCTACATAATTCGCACCTCTCTGCATTTTAGAGACAATAAAGAGCAATTTTCGGGAAAACTATGGCAATACGTAAATGATTTTCAAAATTATTTTTAACGCAAAGTCTGCTTCTTTTGCGCAAGTACAAAGATCGTATAATAAATCATACTGAATCCACGAAATACAGTTTAGCAATGGCATTGTAATGAGCTCAAAATTGCCGCCAATCATAGTATATTTAGTTAGTCTTTTGCACATATTTAAGTAGCGGCGGTTTTACAGACAAAATTTTGTTAAATTGCCGAATTAATTTTTTGAGGCAGAAAAATATTCCAAAATGAATTGCTCAGGGAGGCAAAAACAGACATAGATTTATATTTGCTGAAACCATCACAGAACGCTACGTTTTTACTAATTAGTGAATAACCCTGTTAACATAGTGACGCTCCGACCATCAATATTTCGAACTATTTCTATTTATCAGACTATGTAACATAATTCTCTCCCCTCCATTTAACCCGACCGCTACCTATAGCGTGTGCGATAACGACTGAACAGCGCCTTCTTACTGAGTCAATCAGTGAATGGGAAAGTGATTGCGCTTCGTTTGTCGCCCTGTAAAACCTGTCGGTTTCGCTCAGCTGAACTCTAATGAGCCATGACCTAAATTTTTTTCACGTTCACCGTACCAAATCAAAAAAGCAAAAGCGGCCGTTGATAAGCGACTAGATAATAAAAAGAAAAAGGTTTTGCCGCGTGAAGGTATCCGCATACAAACTCTACACAGCTGACAATTATGTCCATCAAAATACAGGGCTAGGTATCTCGGCTACTTTTCCTAACATTTTCATCTGTTTATCTATTCAGCCGTGCACAACCTGTTCGTTACTGAACGAACAAATACCAGAGCTTCTCGTAGTTCTTTCAGTTACTATCTTTTGAATGTATCGCCATTTATAGACGCCGGTAGGGGCGGCTCCGCCATTTCTTTCAACCAACTGTGAATGACACAACCTAAGTCGCTCCGGTTTCGCGAACGGTCAAAGCGAAAACGGGAAACCGAGAGAGGGCGGCTACACAAAAGGCTATAAATATACGATAGTCGCTAGCATTATAGCGACTGCAGCAGCTGCAACGGAAGCAGTCACAACACTATTCGGCCTTGTTGATTGCATACGCATATCACATACGGTTATTTACATTGCTGCCTTATTAAAGGTTGCTTCGACGGGTTCGATATTATTACTACGTAACTGAACATTTCATTCACTGCTGCTAGCTACAATAGACGACGACGACAACAACAACTAACTGCGAAACACCACTGTCGCAAGCGGTAGCTCTCATAATGTCACGTATGCATTAAACATTGACATATATCCTTGCACACTGGTTGATTGGCAGAGATTCACACACAAACAGATCAGAAGGGACTGGAAATTAACTTGGGTGACTAGCGAAGAAGCTGTCGGGTTCCCGCCGCCCTTCAACTTTCAAGGCACCTAACACACAAAAACGTATACAGACGACGAACACAGAAAATCGCAATTTAGTGATCGGCGATAACTGAATGTTGAAGCGACGGTTGTTTTGGGAGAGGTGTTGTGGCACCCATATGACACTAGAGATCATAGGAAAACGAAGAGAACATGATATTGACAGGATGGAGGAAAAGTTTTCGTTTACCTCGACAGTAGACACGAAAAGATCGTCGTCTTCGTAGCTGTCATACGGTTTCCTACTAGCTGATAGATCTTGCTGGAGCGGGTTACTCATTGTGGAACGAAAGGCAAAGTAACAAGTCGGTGGTCAATGACAGACAGACAGGCACGCACCCAAATCGTCGTTACGGAACGATGACGACAAGGAGGTCGATTTCGTTGCTGCTAGATGAGCAGACCGCTTCAATCACACCGACGTACAAACGTAAAACTCGAACGCCTAATGAAGAATGCTAATCGCCGTACTGGCTTGTACTGAACAAATACTTTACGGGTAATTTGCAATAGTTTTCTGTACTTTTACTGCTGCTTATGGAGGTGGTGCTGCTAGTGATAGCTGGCGCTCCGCTCAGTTGTCGAGAAACCCGTCTGCCATATTGTGCAAGAACTCCCCCACGCTAATGTTATGGGAAGGGCTTGTCATTGGCTAGTCGTCTGGGTGACAGCCAGGCGGGCTAAAAAAACAGGCCCTCGCGGGAGATTTAAGTACGGCAACCGAGCGCCTTGTGGTAAATGAATACACTCGACAAAAATTACTGAGCTGTCTTCTCTGTTACTAGACGATATTTTCATTCAAGATTGAAATTAACAATTTCTTGCTGTCTTTCACGATATCCATATCGTCACAATGTACGTTTTAAAAAGCAGGACGTTTGTAGGCACGATAAATTGTGGCTCAGCACATCATTATATAGAATATATAAGTGAATAATAGAAGGTTTATATTTTTTATATTATGGATTGTTTGTTCATACCATTGCCGATTTCTCTCTTCGAGTGCACCGGAAGTGATACTCGAAAGATACAACAGCTAAGGGGCACCTTTCCTTCCATGCTTTACCGATTTAGTTTAGACAGTGCCTGTGTCTTTTCTTGTAATTCAAACTTTGCCTAGGCTGGAGAGCGTTTTAGGTGGAGACTTTAGGTGAAGAGCGCAGTATTGGAAATTACCTACTGTGAATTGGATAGCAGCTATATACGTGCTTCTTCGTCGATTCCGCTGCGCGACTGTATGATGGGTATTTTCTTCTAATGAAATGGGCCATTAATTTATATATAGCCATTGTTGAATAGGAAACATTCATTCACAAGGCTGTACAAGGCAGACTGTATTACATTTTGTAAAATCAGTCTGTTTTGCACAATACTTAAGTGTTCACGTTTACAAAGCCCATTTTCTGGAATCAGCCCAAAAAGGTAACCCAAAAACTGGGTTCCAATAGACTTGCAAGGATTTTTCTTCCAAATGTTCCTTTTTAAAAAAAAAACATCTAAAAGAAATCTTCCTTTTCTGGCGACAGGTATCAACAGAAGGTACGCACCGAATTTCGTTTTGAAAAAATATGCAGGTGACACAACTTTATACGATGTATGCTGCGCTGCTCAGATAGAGCTCACAGTTTAATGTGGTTTTGTTACTCTTGGGGTTCTTTGTTAGCTAATGCAAATACTCACTTTGTCATAAGTTCCAGTATTTCCAATCAGATCTATTATAATAGTTGGCCCTTTAAGAATCTTTTAAATGTTAATTAACTCTAACCCATCATTTTACGTACAAACTTCAAAATATGTTTCTAGACTGATGCTCAAGGTCGGCAGACTTCCGTGCCCAATCTTTTCATCTACTTTTTTAATTAAATCACAAGTGAGAATGCATTTACTATAATTAAACCATGTGAGAGTTTAATGTGAATATTTCGATATCCATCGCAGTATGATGATCTTTCAAAGTGGTGAATGACCTAAGGTGGTTCAATCATCTTCAATTCAAGCAGATTTTTGAGCAATTAAAATTTCATTTTTTATATACCATGCCTCGCACAGGATACAAATGGCACCTTTTAAAGTTAATCACCACCTTGTAAATATAATTTTTAGAGATTCGCTGAAAATTTGTTATTGCATGATTAAATTTATGTTTTGCAGATAAATGAATTTACCCACAATATATAAGCTTTATTTGTTCGTTCTTTACAGACAAAAACGTATTTCTAAAGGTATCGAGGAAATCACATACTTGTGTCCGAGAATAGGCGATATGCTTAATTTTTGACCGTATAACAAGTTCAAGGTTATCTATCAAATACACAAGGCTTGTAGTAAACAAAGTATTGTAATTACGTCCTCTACATAATTCACGTTATAATTCAGATAAACGAAGCTCAAAAAAAAAATAATAATGAATTTTCACCATTTCTCATTCATTTTCTGTAGCTTGATTCTGTTTAATCATTAGTATTTAGTAACATTATCTATGCTTCTTACCGCAGATTGCTACTGGGTAAAGATATGAAAGCATTAATAAAAAATTATTTTTACGACTTGTAACTTAACGGCTAGCCATTTCCACCCCATTTTTACGTTCGCACAACACACAGCTTCTATTACTTTTTTTTTTCTCTAATTCTAGAATTTTCTAAATGTGGACTTAAAACTATTCTTCAAGCTACTTTCATAGACTCTGTTATATTTACATCTACCATATATTTGTTATAGATATCTTTTAACCTCAGAAAACATTTACAGTGTTAAATATCTGTTAACGATACATTAGCTTACTGGCTTAAGAAAAAAGAGTGTGTACGTTTTGCGCGTACGAGCTAAGTTATATTGCAATTTCAAATAATTTAAGTTCTTTTTATTTTAGATTGTAGGCTTACCAAAGAAGTGTTTAAACGAATATCATTGCACTACCCATAAAAATGGAGAAAAATACGTTCGTATCTCTAAGAAGGCAGCAGTCGTATAAAACGGTGTTTAGATTCAAAAACTTTAACCCACTCAAACAATATAACATACATGTCGGCGTAACGTATTAATACTCAAGTAATAATTAACGATTGTTTTAGCTTGGTTAGGATCAAGTTAAGATCCTTTGGGTGGTACAACTTAGATCGACAGAGCATAAGAGTGACATTACTCTACGTCGACCTTATAAAGCTGTTCGCAGACTTATTGCCATTAGCCTGCGAGAATATTTTCAGATTTGCGGGATTCGTAAAAATTCGCGAAAGATCTTTCACGATTACTGAACGAGCTAAATGCTATAAGTAACTTCAAGAAAGAACCCAATACACGTATAAACAGTTAAGCAAAGCAAATATCGCTGTAAAGCTGGCACAGATCAGTGTGACGGAGATAACGATTGGCATTTCCAAGTTCCAACGGAATTTTTACCAATAGATGTGTCAGATTAATTTTAAATATCTATATATATGTTAAATAATAACTAAAAATAAATGAATAAATCAGTTTTACTAAAGTGTATGGTTGAATAATTTGACTTGATGAAGTCCCAAAAATTGAATTAAGGTTTTGGTGCGATATGATTAAAAACAGTCATATGACGTTGCTTTACTGCATATTGCACTTAGGAAGTTTTTTGTCTGTGACAAGTTTTTAGCACTAGTATTATCGAGAACTCATCAGAACGTAGAAACACATCTTTGAAAGCCTACCTAAACAAGAACTCGTGGTTTTAAAGACGTCCAAAAACATTTATTGTGACTCCCCTCGTTATAATTAGCCGCCGCCGATTTTAATTTGCGAGAGCACTACGATATGCGAGTATCCATACGATTGAAAAATCCTAAATCTTTGCAGAATTTCGATTACAAAGGCCTTGTTACGCCAACAGTCCTATCGTAAAGTTTCGGCACAGGGAAATGGCCTGCATATTGGTCCAGAAGCACATATAATGTCCTTTCTGATACCTTTATAGGTATATAAGAGAGAGCCTCGGGATTGCGGCCCCGTTTGGCACTCACTTGCTCCAGATTAGTTTCAAACTTTTCTGGTATAAAAATACCGTAGGTTTCGAACTGAACACGGCTTCTGCCTAGCAGAAAAACCCTTTTGGCTGTTTGTTTGGCGACGAGGAATGAAGCGCCAGCAAGCAATAATCCAATTCCCATTCCAACGATTTGAGCAAAATAAAAGAACGAGCTTTCAGCGACCTTCCGGGATATGCGCTTCATCGTCGTGTTGTCGCCTTCAGGATTTCTCCTGAAATTGTAAATTGTCAATTCCTTAGACGACAGAAAAACAGCAAAATACATACTACTACATTGTCTGTTTTGGAAAAAGCGCGCTCATATTTTCCAATAAGGAAACGCGAAAACAACTTTCTAATAGGTTTACTTATCTTTTTGATTGTATAATAAATATAGAAACATGATAGATGAGAAATAATAGAATATAAATATATATTATAAATAGGGGTAATGCTAGTAATGACATTTGTCGAGTCTAAATAAATATTGATCTTTTATTCATCAAACGTGCGAGATGCACTAAGAATTTTGAAATGGTTAACGTCGTTGAGGTAAAAATCTAATTTACTAGAATAAAAGTAAAGACATAATGTTAGAGTTTAATCTCTATATAAATAGTAATAAATTATATTTAATTTGGATTGTCTATATTGAACATTTCTAATGATCATATGAAATATTTGCTTAGACTTATACAGGTAAGTAAAATTATAGATTATCTATTCCGTTGAAAAAATATAAATTCGCATGATGCGATTATTGATAATATTCTATACTTCTGTGTTGCCTTTATATAATACAAGTACATACCTGACGGTCTTCTTTCTCTCTAAGAGATCACATATAGCGTAGTTCATGTATGGCCAAAGAATTAACTGGGATGCTCCAAAAAATTTGAGCAACATGATTACTCCTGGCTTATGGTGTTCATATATCAATTCTGTTTTAGGACCACCCGATATCCACTTCAGAGTAAAATTCGATAGTAAACTTCTTTTATGCCACTGCTTAATAAATCTACCGCCCAACGTCAGTCTCTCTCCTAAGCGAAACAACATCGCGATTACGTTATCGTCTAGCAATAAACTGAGTACGCGTTGGTTCGAGGAACAACCGCTGCGCCTCCCTATGTAGTTGTTTCGTGATGTTTCTGTCAACTGTTTTCCACGTACTCTATAGATCGATCTCGCACAACGTGCGTGTCTCCTGTTTACCTCAGCCTCTCTATCCAACCATAGTACAGACAATAGATCCGCGAGCGGTAAACAGACATTGTTCTATGTCCTTTTCCTCTCTTTCATAGATCTGTGTTCTTAATTTATAACAAAGTATCCACGTATTTTTTTTCGAACTGTGACGCTCAATTGATCTATTTAATTCGAACCGTTAAAGCCACTGCTGTTTAATGTGCATGGTTTTACGACTTGTTTGTAATGATTGCAGAATTATTCAAATGGACCAAAAGACCAAAATACCTCTTCTTCGTTTCGATTATGTCTCTTGTGTGCCCTTTCCCCATCTTGAAACACTTAGCAGACGACGGCTGAGCTCATTTTATCGTCGCTCATGTTTGTCAATCAGCTGAGCTCGGTCAGTGTTTCGGATAAGCACTGTTGCAACCAGTTGCCAAGACAGAGAGAGAAAACGGAAGGGCAAATGGAAACGAACGACTCAGTTGTAGTGTGTGCATCCGCAAGCAGGGGCCAGTGTGGACATCGAGGAATTATTAATGATATATAGAAAGCGTGCTTTGTCAGAATGGTTAGCCTCTGAGACTTTGTGTTGCGACTCATTGTTGTGACGTCGTGTGCTTGTTCGCCGACAGAACGGGGGTGTTCGCGCGGTCTTCGAGATGTCAATTTGTCGACGACTGGCCCACAATGGCGCTAACGGCGGAGGTCGAAGCAGCGATGTGGCGCCGACAAGTCAAGTGGAAACGTTTGAGGCTTTGTTACTCTCCAAGAGGACACTTTCGGGCTTGAACAGAACAGGTTTTCAACAACCATCGCCGATTCAGGCCAAAGCGATTCCTATGGCTAAATGTGGTGTTGGTAAGTTGACCAGATTCGACCCTAAAAGCCATATACGATCACGTTATACACGTTATGTCTGCCATACGATACATGATCATAGTCCAAAACGTGTTGTTAACATTCTAGAAGAGGCAGCCCGAAAACACATACATTCGAATACCATTTTACATGATTATTAATATTATTATTCCTGTAGTGAACTATGATCCTAGTCAATATCTGAGTTCGACAATGAACAGGAAACAATTGTTTTGCGTATTCAGCCAGCCAAGGCGGGAGTTGTGTTGAATTATATGTGTATGAAGGGTCAGGGTCACCGGTGAGGTATAAACAGCAAACTGAACTTTGTCATCGACGTGAGCGAAACTGTATCGTACAACTTTATCGATTGAGCAATATATTGACTGTTTTTCATTAAGTTATTCGCTGGCCATCCATTTATGATTTATCACTTCTTCAGATCCAGAGATGAAATGCAAAAAAGTATTTCGAACATCGCAGATTATCTAGATTTGGGCGAAGAAATCAAATCAACATTTAAGAAGTTAATTATATCATATACATATTTGTAATGATGACATAATGGCAGAGAGAGATATTTGCGAGCTAAATATATACTAGGTGAACAAAAAGATTATAGAAAAGATGTCAATGGCAGCATTCGAAGCCTAATATATATATATATACATATATATATAACGCATTTACAATATACATTTCTAATTAATACTGAACTTAATGTACGAACATATTGCGATAGATTAAATATAGAGCACTGCGTCATAACCACCATATACGATTGTGTCCTACAGTAAATGTTTCGTTTCGGTGAACGTTTTTTGGATTTTTCGTATCAGAACACCTAAGCGAAAAACAGTCGTTTTAATATAGGTTTATTACAGAAACAAGCTAATTCTTTAGATAAAGTTTACATTTGAAAGAGCTCATGGAAGCATTGAATTTATATTCTGGTTAATCAACGATAGGGTCGCTGATGAATGCATTGCAACAAAAGGATGAAAACACACATCTGTTTTTTTTTATTAGTTGACCATTTATTCACTCAAATGAATAATTACATCTATCTATTCTAGAATATAGTTAGTATAAAGACGAAGAATTTATTACTCAGTAATCATTCAATTACCAAGAATTGACGATTTTTAGGGTACTCCAACAAGATGTAGAACTTAATCAAGGCAGAGATTATTAGTGTTTTTAAAAAAGCTGTGGATAGAAACATCTAAGGAGAGGTTATGTCATTGAATTAGCTGGTGTAGGGCTAAGAAGGAGCTCAAATTGAAACCTCATTAAAAGTAGAGGACTGCAGGATTTTCGCTGTCAAAAAAGTAAATTTGTTTTCAACACAAAGATATTCCCATAATGTATACAAGCATATTTGCACGTTGTAGTTAAAATATTTGTTCATTCCACAAGGAATCGCACCTGCTTATAAGATAAAATTAACAGAAGGACTACCTAACGTGTATAACAACCAACCACTCTAAAGCCTCGCTGCGGTAAAGTTAAATTAGGGTTAGGTCCTTTTATAGAGCTTTGATCACATTCGTTTACTTATTCTACTGACCACATTAATGATAAGTAACGGCCATTGAAATGTGTATTTTTTAAGATATATAACTAATGCTAATAGTGTTAAATATCGTTTATCTGAAAAGTACCACTTCACTAATCTGTACACCGATATGATATTGGCTGATCAGCCATGATTTGATATATAAATTGTTAAAGGTGCACTGCTGCGTCATACATTGTACAAACACATGATTTCACACCTTATTTCGAATTGTCATATACTAAGGAAGTAATATCCTGTTTATTGGGGCTTCATTTTGCTCTTAGCTAAAAATCTGGGCGGATCGCGAAAGGCTAAAAATGGAGGGGTGAGCATAAATGACCTAAAGAAGAGATGTGTTATAAGTGTATAATGTAGTACACGAAGTTTCATTATATAGTATTTGTTGTAAGGTAATAGTACATTATTATGCAACTAATGAGCTAATTAGTAATATTTTTGCTCAAGTCCCTTGTAGAACGTAAACTCCATTTTTAGAATGCGTTTACCAAGATTTGCATGTGCATGTGATACCAACAGCAGCATGTACTGGAATTAGCTCGGGTCCTTCCAAAAAGAGAGTTCTAGCATGATTATAGATCCATTAAGTTCATTGAAACGTCTATATTTGTTAGCTTTTTAGACTTTCCGCGATGCCTTATCACATTAACTGGCACCGATGTCTTGACATTTATATGTTTGTAAATGAAGCTGCAATAAAATAATGAGATTAATTTTGTTAAAATCCACAGTGCAACATAGTATCACATTATTATCGACTAGAACTTGCGAGGAAATTGGCCCGTGCGATCTGAAGATTGACCTATTTAATATATTATATTTCACCAGTAGCAGTGGGCACCGTAATTAAACACAAGTAAATTAAAAACATGCCTATCGTCATGTGCTTTACTTCCAGGCATACTTGTATTGTGCCATTAAAGGCAATAATATTAGTTTGTCTTTATATATTTAATTATACGAGACTGGCATTTCATATCTCACTGGTTCGTATTGTTATACTCTATACGTCTAGTATACCATAAAAAAGGAATGGAATATGTGTTCAAAATATTTAGGGGCTGTTCAACATTAGTGCTGGGTTAGATCTGTTGTGATGGGCCTGTTAGGTTCAGTAGGGATCGCTTACAAAACTGTAATTTATGCGCGTCGCTTTTTTAGACTAGTAAATGCATGAGCAGATGGCTTCTCATTATGAAAGTACCAACAAGATTGTTAAACACATTCCCTTATCCATGGATTTACGATCGACATGATTTCATATGTACACATGTTAAGTAAATATGGCTCTAGGAAACAGAAAGGGTGGCACAACAGATCAAAAAGTTACGCTTAAGTCATACAAAAGTATTAAATTAGGTTAGGAAAATAATATATCCCTCGTTTGAGGCCATATACGGCATTAAAAATGTGCAAGATGTAACGCAATATTATTTTCCATTAAATCTTTACTATTAAAAAACGTAACGCGTCTGCATATATACATGATTCTTTTTATTAAAACATGTCATTCTATTGTAAGTTAAATAAAAATATCGTAAGTTCATCGTTATGTGATTGTAAAGGACTGCCTTGCCTTTTATACTAGAACAGTGCAAAAATCTAAGCAACTTCCCTCATTTAGCTTATCTTGTTACTTTACTTCTGTACTGTTATTACTCTTTTACTTACGGTTTGCCCTACATAACGCCTATCGACTAATGATATGGTTATTTACAATATAAAAGTTTAGCTTGATCTTCAAAGCGACTAAGTTTACTGAAATCTCTGCGGCATTTCGCGAGTAACTGGTGAAGCAGGCTCGAGTATTTGGCTATTAAGCGGTTGTAATGAACTTTTACATTTCATATCAACGCTCTAATAAAGCTGTCATAACTCACTATTCAACTGTTAGTTTGACCCAACATATTGAATAAAATTTAATTTATCCCATTTACGTATTCCCATTAGTCTCATATATGTTCAGAAATATGTTAATTTGAGGTCAAGTATGAATGGTTCACCTTATTTATCGTCAAGCTTATCATTTATAGAGCGCATTACGAAACGCGTGTCTGAGGACTTAACATTTTAGTGTTGTGAATGAAAATCCAGAAAAAAAGTGATTCTGTCCTCATCTTTATATAATCAAAATAGCTCTATCAAACAAATGAACTTCAGCTTTCTCTTCATATACGTCCGAGAATGTTAAGAGCAAAAATACCATACAAATTATTAAACACTTAACCAAAATAAGTGTTATGCGACATTTACCTCGTTTCTCTTGTCACCATGTTTTCATTATTGCAATGTCCGAATTCTATGAGACAGTTTTTTTAAAACAAATGTGAGGTGTAGAATTAATAAAAAAAAAAACAAGTAAAAATATATTTTGATAAAATTTAGCCATATTTTTTACAAAAAGAAATCTTACTTTGATATGAACGCAATAGATTAAACTAAAAAATGTAATTTTAGTTTTTTTTTACTTTAAATAATTGAAAGAACGCTTAATGTCAGTCGAAAATTTTGTTGAAAGACATTTGTTTCTGTAAAGGCCATTGGTATTACAGGTGTTTTTTAACTGAAATTTGTGTTTTCTTTTGCTTATACATGACTGACACACGGTTAACTTTAAATTCGCGTTAAGATATGATAATCCAGGCAAAATCGGGTACGGGTAAGACGTGCGTATTCGCTGTTGTATCTCTAGAAATGGTCAATGTGCAGCTTAACCAGGTTCAAGTGGTAATTCTCGCTCCGACACGCGAAATCGCAATACAAATTTGCGACAACATCAACTGTATCGGGGTTGACTATCCTGGCTTGAAATGTTTCGCTTTTATCGGCGGCATCGCTCTTGAACAGGATAAGGTTAGTGATGTATATGTACGAGTAAATGCAAACTGTGCTCTCTTCAAATATTGCATTGCAGTCTCCACTAAACACCCTACTTTACTTATTGTCAAGAAGGTAGATATTTAAATTGCAAAGAACTTCTAGTACATCTTTACAGTTGCATGTTATTTTGGCTAACGGCAAAACTAATGAATTCTTTTATCACTTAAATCCGTACACAGCATGCTTACAGAGTGCAGTAAAAGTCCACCGTACCGTACGCTCCAGATTGCCTCTTCAGACTATGGTCTATACAGCTTAAAACTAACTCACATCTTTTTGAATTCAGGTGAAAATTCGACGGTGTCACATCTTCGTGGGCACACCAGGCCGTACAAAACAACTTTTACAAGTAGGGTTGCTTAAAACGCGAAGTATCCGTTTATTTGTCCTGGACGAAGCTGATAAATTGCTTGAACCTTCTTTTCACGACGATATTAAGTTAGTACAAATTATTTTCTGTCTGGATGCGTGAATACATGGCACTTTGATATATTATCTTTCGATAGAGTTGTACAGATATCACGCGGCAAATGTTTATGAAAAATTATATCTGTTAGATTGGTTTCTTGAAGCGGAAGCTTGAAAGAAAAATTAAGTTTTACCTGGTTATTCGAAAACGACATTTTGGTAAAACCATCAATGATCGTCTTAAAATTTTCCTTCTTATCCCATTATACTTCACTCAAACTTAGCTCGATCTTTGCGGCTCTCCCGGCGAATAAGCAGATGCTTGCACTGAGCGCCACGTTCCCTTCAGAGATAGTTTCTCAATTGTCGAAGTACATGCGAGCTCCAACTGTCGTCCGGCTAAATTCGGACGACCCTGTGCTACTCGGTATTCGGCAATTTTACCATAGCGTACCTTATCACAGCATTCCACACATCATCTTCCAACGGAAACTCAAGGTTCTGCTGCAAATATTGGTTGACGTTCCCTACACTCAGTGCCTGGTATGTCTAAAAGATTTATTTTTCTACGTTACTCTTGTCTAACGTGCTGTACTGATTTTCAAACCCTTCAAGAATTTGCCTAACAGTTAGTTAGGGATGAGAAAAACCGCACTAATAAACCACAAGCTATATTGGCAAGCCTAAATTACGCATTTTTTCTCCTAATATTGCCTCTACAGATATTTCTCAACTCGCAGATGCGCGCTGAAATGCTATGTGACCGTTTGCGGGAATCGAATTTTCCTTGCGAACTTCTATCAGGAGCGCAACGTCAAAGTGAACGAATCCGTTCATTAGTACAGCTTAAACAGAATCGTTGTCGGATTCTCGTTACGACAGATCTCGCTGCTAGAGGTATCGACGCTGAAAAAATCAGTGTGGTCATCAACTTTGAAGTGCCCAATGACAAGGAAACCTACTTGCACAGGATAGGACGTGCTGGCAGATACGGTGCGTTGGGTTAAACGTTTGAGTGCAGGGACGAGACTTCATCTGAAGGATAAGCCCTTTTCTAATAACTTCACTCTAGGACTCCATTCTTCTAAGACTTCTAAGACTATTTATTCTACACTGGCCGTACCCTTATATTTTTGTCAGTACCGTAAATCATAGCAGCAGCATGTAACTCAAGTTCATCTCGGTATTTTGTTTCTTTTTAACCTTACGCCTTCAAAATAAGTTTTTTTCGTCAGCATAGAATGACACCTGATATACACTTTACTAATTGCGCAACCTCCTAAATCACTTAATTTCTCAGTATTCCTACCAAATTTTATTCCTCATAAGCTTGATCATTTTGTGTATAAGCTGTCGGCCTAACTATATGGAATTACATGTTCAATAGAACTATTTATGTATTTCGATTTGGTGTTTTATGGGGAATTGCCGTAATTTAAATGTTCTGATTACAGGAAGCTTTGGTATTGCCGTGAGTATAGCTGCCGAAGGTACAGAGTCAGACGCCCTGCAGAAAATCACTACAGATTCAAACGTGCTTCTTCAATTTATTGGGACACTCCGCGACTTCCGACACATTTTAACGGTCACCAATGAGCCAGTGCCAGCAGAGGGCGCCATCATCAATCACGTTCGATATCCGCCTACGCCGCAAGAACTAACACCAGCCGAAGATGAGTCACGCACACCCCTTACATCGATGAGTTCAGAAAGTAATTGTAGCAGCAGAGGGGAATCCCGACCTGGTAGTCGAGCCTCTAGCAGATGTCCTTCTCGCAAAAGCAGCCTCCGGCGGAAACAGGCCATTCGGAATTTTGTAACTACCCAATCAGAACCCTGCACGCCATTCCATCAACGATCGAACTCGAATAACAGCGTCAATTTCGATCCTGTACATACGTCATGGAACGAACTTCACCTAGTAGAAAAAATTCAGAAAGCCTTCACTCCGAGTTGTGAGGATCTACATTTAGGAAGCATAGATGAAGCTCTCGAGAGCCTTGCCAGGGTGCGGACAGCAAAAATGGACGTACCGAAGTTTAACGGTAGCCTTGTTTGGGATCCGCTAATGAAGCCGCACATTGATCTCACCCCACTTGCCCCGCCAGAGGAGGAGATGCTCGAGGAGACATCGGATGAAGAATCTCAACAGGACAATTCGGTTATACAAACGAACGACCTAACTCCTTATGCGATAAGGCCAAAATACGCCCCGTTCAACGATCCAGTAACGAACCTTCGAAAGGGACACATAAGCCAAAGTCTAAATTGTTTGGCTAGAATTGAGCCTACACTGTTGAGACAGAGCTCATTTACCGGTATAAACCCATCCTATGCCGGGCTGCGTGTTCCGAATTCGGTGATCGGTGCTCGTTGGGAAAGCCAGGCTTGCTTAAGCAATATGTACAACAGATACATAAAATCTATGCTCTATAGTCGAAGCTCGTACTTTCAAAAAACGAACTGAAAATAAACTACATTTAATTACTAAACAAAACAAGTAAAACGCGCCGAACCCACAGTAGCACATTCTTGGGCCCTCATGAACAGACAAAGTGTCTCGTGCAACTTTAATTTTGTGGAAAGAGATATTCCTATATAGTACTAATCATATAAAACGATCTCAAGCGATTCACGCAAATCAGTGCCCTTGTCATATATACAAAAAGATGACTTGTACACGATCCTATGATATGTTCCTCCTTGAAAAAAGTATGTACAAGTTTTTCAGTGGCAAGATTCTTTTGTGAACCAATAATATCAGCTGGATGCGTGTATCCATTTAGAAATGAAGTCAATGAAATGAGGTAAAAATGAGTCAGTAATTGATAAAGCTCTGAACAGCAGATGACAATAGACTGTAAGCGACCGAGTTGTATTTGAGCGTTAGCATAAAAATTACGAGCGAATAATTTGCAAAGCTTGCTAAAACGTTAATATACAGATATATTATTGTATTATGCACATACGGTGCCTAACCATCACGTAATAGCATACACGCTCACGCCGGATAGTGTAGGAGCGAATTTCATAGAGAGCGGAAGCCAATTTCAGAAAATATAATAATAGCATATAGAAGCATTATAATCACCTTTCCGCGATCGAAACATTTTAGCCGATATAAAAGGTTTAGTGTCCTATAGTTATTGAGTACAGTTTCAGTGAGACCCCTTAAAGGGGATTTATCACGTGCTTCGTGATGAACATATTGATTAGAATTTTAGGCTAATTTATTGCAGTAACATTAGTAACTAGGGTGGATAATCCTAGTAATGGTCATATGAAATTTAGATTTTAAATATGTATAGCTATTGTTACATGCCCTTGTTACTATTCAATTATAGAAGTTGACATTTAGAAGTGAATCTGTAATTGCTAAATCCATGAAGAGCAGACGACAATAGACTTGAAGAGACGGAGTTGTATCTGGGTGTTAACATAAAAATAAATTATGAGCGAAATATTTGCAAAGCTCGCTAAAATGTTTATATACGGATATATTATGCGCATACGGTACGTGAGCATTACGGAATAACACACACCCTCATGCCGAATAATGTAGGAGCGAATTCGATAGAGAGCGAAAAGAAACTTCAAAAAATATAGTAATAGCACATAGACCTTTCGGTGCTGTTTTAGTTCATACCACGGCAAAAATGTATATTTAGATGTTGACCGAAAAATGAGTGGTGATATCTCAATGGTTCTTTAGGTATGAAAATGAAAATCTTAATAGGATAGACAATCTGTACCGCGGCAATAATAATACTAAAAAACAAACAAAATTGTTTAACTACGCCATGGGGTGTTTGTTCATGGAGCTAATGCAAGTTAGCACATTTGCACATATAAGCGAATCTTACGGTTGACAAATATGCAGAATAAATTCTGTTATATCTAAACAAACTCAGCTTTTTTTCACCTTATGATAAAGTTTTATTCATTTATGGAAGAATATTTAGAAATAAGTTTTCAGCTAGGAGCAAATTCAATTTATGGTGATAAAAATCTTTTCGCATTATGTGAATGCTAATTTGAAATATCTCTATCCGATTATGTTAGTAAATATCTGTCATTTAATTGTTTTATTTTGACTGCTGTTTGAAATAAAATCCTGAAAAGACACCGTTTGGCTTCGTTTTTCCCAGCCTAATGTTGACCGGGCCCAGGCTTAATTTATCAAGCATGATACTTTAATTAAAGCATTTTATGATTTGAGCATTCTACAAAACTTCTTTTGCAATACTGGAAAGCACTCATAGAAGCGTCCGAAGATTGGTTAACAGCAGCAGTTTAAATAAATCAGGCAAAAAATGCCAACATTATTTCGAAGAAATATTATCAAATTAAAATTTATATTTTACAAAAACAAAAAATACACGTCTAATAATTAAATTTCTAAGCAGACCACAAATTTAGTATACACTTATAGCATCACTTCATTCTGACTACATAATTATTTTAACTATGAGTTAGGCATACCCATTTATACACAATCATGTATGGACTTCTTCGCCTTTACACTCAGATCATCATATAGCAGTTTGTCTACATTACACTTTTACCAGACTTCGATAAAACAATTTCTTTTCAACTTTGCCGGATGCATCACTTGTGATCTCATTGATATTACGTTTACATCTTCCTTGACAAGCTAACTGTTGCGGAGAATGTTCATCAACAGGCTAGAGAAAGAACCTCAAGTGCAAAAAACAAAAAACCTAGTTTGCTAAATAAAGCTTAACGTAATCTGTGTCCAGCCAATTCGTCTTAATGTTACCCTTTGCCTGTTGTCTAATAATAACGGGATCTCCTCTTCTTTTGTAGAGTTTGAATTAATCGGAAATACGATTAGTAGATGCGCGTGAGAAACGAAGAAGCCACTTGAAATGATGTTTTCTTACTTCCATCTTTAAATACACATATAACACTTATTTTATATAAACTAGGGGCCTTTTGTCGCATCGGGTAAGGAATGGACCAGAATATTCTACCAAATTCACTCAACCTCTTCCTGCTCTTCAGCAACCTTTGACTTCTTTTTCTTTTTTTTCTTCTTTTCAACCGGAGACTGTTCTTCGCTGCCTTGTTCCACCTTTTGATCCTCTTCCTGTTCCTGCTGCACATCTGAATGTTTTGATTTCTTAATGAACTGTTTAGGTTCATGAGGGGCATCGTCGTCATCATCGGCGAACGTCTTGCGCTTCTTTCCTAAGGTAGAGTCTTTTGCGGGTTTATATTCAAGGATCTCACTTTTATGTCGATACACATCGAATTTGTTTGACTTGCTACCGCCAGTCTTCGATATTCGTGTTAGCTTACCGTCTTCAAGCATCTTGAGACGCGCCTCAAGGTTGGCTCGATTTCGAAGCGACATTTCAGTGTCAGTGTCTTCGCCTAAAGCGTCCACCCTGATGGCAAGAGCTGATTTCGCTGCCAGCCATCTTGATGCTTTTCCCTTACATTTTTGGCTACTCTGACCCACCATTTGTGCGTGGTAGATAAGGCCGTACTTGGGTGTATCGTGCTTGGTTTTCAGAGCGCGGAAGAGTGCCTTTTCTGCACCAAGAATTTGGACAGTTGAAGCAGGTTGCTTAGATAGATTCAATAGTGAACCGGCATGAGCAATTAAACGAGCACCTACTAATTCACCCACAAGGACTGTCAGGTTAGGAGCTACCGCTGTCATACGATTTTTAAGATACTCATAAAGGGTCCCTCGGTATTCGGTCATTTGAATAACCTCATCACAAAGATGCATAATATTAGCCACGTCATCAGGAGCAATTTCTGTACCCATAGAGACTTCAGCCAGCTCCTTAATCTTTGCCTCTTGGTCCTCGGGCAGAATATCCGATAAGTCCAAATTAATGGCATTGCTACGCATTCCCATTTTGCGCACAGTTTTAACGTATAACATGTTGTCCGTCACCACCTTACTCATTTCTGGAAAATGCCAGCCATACCTGTAACGTAGAGAATACAAGTTAGCCTTTCGAAAAAAACGAAGTACATACATAAAATATTATGGAATACGACCAGCGTAAACGGTTTTACATAAGGGCGTCGCTAATGTGTGATCCATCACTTGACTGAACCAGAAATATGCTTGGCTCGGCCGGAGAAGGACCAGTTCTTGTAGGAATGCTAAAAAACAATCTATGCATAGGGCCAGTTTGTCATCAAGAATTCCAACTACGACGCCTTTACTGACAATCAAATAACTTGGTTTCTTATTTTACTAAACAAAACAGTACAATTTAAAATAACGATGTTGTTCGAACACGTGCGCACTAGAAGCTTAAAAGTAGTAGCTTCTAGGTAATTAGGGTGGCAGTTATTTTTGGGTCCGTTTTCGATACCGATAACCAGTACACGGTTGTCGCCAGGATGCCAGACCCTATAAATTTAGACAAACTCAAACTTGGAACGCCACTGCCTTGCGATAAAGAACACTCGTCGTCGCAGTTAAAAATAATGGATGTTATTTGATGTTTTCAGCATGCCATTTGTGTAGCAGGATAGCACCACGCGGAATAGCAGTACTACCGTGAAGGGACTCTGAAACGCTTGTTATCTTTATCTATTCTTATTCTAGGAGGGTCACTGCACGTATGCTATTGTGCCATACTGTGGTATATGGACATGTATCAATGGCTTATCGATGACCATAAACAGGCGAAGTGAAAGGTTGTCACATCGTTGCCCTCGGTCCACGCTGCACCACAAATAGAAACGAAACTATCTTACCATTCTTTGCACCGCATGACGTAATTATTTAGCTCCTTGTCCAAATCATCTAACAATGACACCGCTTGAATTATCATTGTGTCTACCTTATCTGGTGAAAATTTGAGCTTGTATCGTGAAAGAGAATGGGCAAGACCAAGAGCCATTGCTGTTGCTTCCCTCTGAGACAGCCCAGTAATCAAAGCTTCCTGCTGAGACCGGATACATCTGAAGCAGTAGCGAGAAGTGGAAAACACTGATTAGAATACATTTCAACGATTTAAAAAAATAAATGATAATTGGCAACAATACATAATAACTATTATCAGTGGTATCTCTACATGAAGAGTAGTAGAAGAAGAATAATGCAACGTTTTCTTAGGATCAATTAAAATTTACCTCATCAATTCCTGGATGGATGAATTAGCTACACAAAGAATATCCATCTTCTCTTTGATGATATTTCCCAGCTTGGCGTCTGCAACAGCCAGAGTCTCGTGTGCGTCGCTAACAGCTAGCTTCTTCAAAACCTGTTTTCGGTAAAAATTAAGATATGAAATCAATTTTACATGACAAATATTAAATTATATACTCTGAATTCCTCAAAACCTGTTCTTACAAAATCGCTCTTCTTCGTTGGTGTTGCAGAATAAGATCAAGGTATCATGTAGTCCATCCGCATTACCCACTGTATTTATTAATTTAAATACGAAAAGCTGTTCAGCCAGCTATACACACTAGTCTCTTTTTTGTCGAAACCAATGTAGTGGGCGACACATTTTACTGTTGGGCTTCATCTGAGGACTAGGACTATAAGCTGTAGTAATCCTGGGTTAAAGCCCATATATATAT